TGTAAAGTCAATCCGACGTAAGTTCCAATGGGAGGCTTGACAGTTCCTGCCAGGCAAAGCGCGCTTACGGTGAGCAAACGCTCTGCTCGTGCTTGATGCTGGAATCGACTGACTATCTGACTGAAGTTGGACTAGTGCTGGCAATGGAGTCCTGTCTCAAAAACTAGGGGCATGAGGACGGGGTGGTGGAGAAGTGGAAGGTCCATACCATTCACCATTAGACGATAAGGGCCGGCAAAGGGAGAATAAGCAAAAGGAATATGATTCTGACAAAGGCTCACATGCCTGCCTGTAGGCTTTGTAGCCGATTTGACTCCTGCAGGTCTGGTCTGTGCTTATCTGGTTTACCCGGCAAAAGCCGTCCTGCAACACAGCCAGGTCATGCTCCAGCTCCCGCTGTTGGGACTTCACGAATTCAGCCTTGGATGTCAGAGGCTACGCATGCTACGCTGGACAGCCAGTCAACAGCTTGCGCCTCTTTGATCAGCAGGTCCACGGAAACGCTCGCCTGTACTCGCGAATCTCTCTTCTTCCAAGCTGGATCTAACTTGCCTCCTCGCGTGCGACCCGCGTACTCTGCCTCTTCTTGTGCAAGGCCTTGAGAAGAAAACAATCCAAGTGGCAGACCAACTTCCGCGCCATCCTTCTATCGTCTCGTAGCAGTGTTTCTTGGAAGCCAAACAGCCTGTCAAACGGAAGTCTAAAATCTCTTTAACACAGTTGGCTTTCGAGTGGGTCCGAAAAGGGCCCCGGATTTGTAACAACCACCTGGTGCGAGCCTCGATCTGCGCGCGCTTCTCATCGATGCGCGCTTCGAAATCACGCTTGCGGCGCAGCTGCCTGACAAGTAACCCAAAGCAAAGCAACCATTTTGCAGCCCCCCCCCAAAGATCACTGCCACGCGCCTCCAGAAGTCCTTTTCCTCATCATCTAACTCAACAACCTTAGAGTTGCCGCAAACAAAGCATCCAGTCTTTGTCGCAAAAGCTGCAAAGCCGAATGCAGCTCAATCGCACACCACCAGACTCCAAGCAAACCCAAAAAGGCTTCAACCATGTCAAAAATATGCATGAGCGCAATCTTGCAAGCAACCCGTACTTAGAATACGACAGCTGTTTTGTCTGAACAAGTGCCAACTCAGCCAATGTTGCAAGCCTGCAAACACGAAAACACAAGTAATCCGAAACGATGTTTGAACTGAGCCGATGAGACCATCTGATGACTCGCACAAATAATATCTGTGCAAACGAATTCGGAGATCTGCGCAGGAGACTTGTGGTTCATCCGCGCGCAAACTCTGAGCAGAGAAGGGGAAGGGAATGTGTGGGCCAAGCGAAGCACAAAGAGCCATGACCGATCAAACAGACAGCAACGACGACAGCCTGGCCATATGGTCAGGAGAGCAAGAGGAATGTGCAATTAGGAGCCAAGACATCCATGCGCACAAAATTCAGCATCCGACGTATATATATATATAAAAATTATATATGTATTATTCATTATTTATATATGTTGTACGCAACTTTCACAGTAGTAGCCGCTATGTAGAAACCGAAAGGAATGGACGCTCTAGCTTCTTGAACACCTGCCATCATCTTCTATCCCTCTGCCTCTAGGTGAACTTATCTCCATGCAACTGAAGCTTTACGAACGCCTGAAATAACTTGATGCTGATCACAAGTTACGCAAGCGAGAAGCAACCTGGATCTGATGCATGGCGGTCAACTGAAGCAACCCCCCTGTCCTCTGAGAACCCCCTGGGCTCGTACCACCGGGCAACCAAGCGAATATTACGTCAACACACACGCACACACGGAATGGGGACTGAACGCGACTTATATAGATGTATAAGCGGCACAGGGCGGCGCTGGGGTTGACAAAGCAAAGTAGGCTTGCATGAAACACACGCAGACACACATGCATATACACAGAAAGACAAACACACGCACACAGACACCTATACGCACAAAAACACAACCATACAAGCACACACACACACAACACACACACACACGCAAGATGCAACTTTTACACTTTTGCACATGCATGCACAAACACACGCGCACACACACACACACAAATACATACACCCACATATGTACAAAACGAACGAACGAGCCAACCAACAAAAAAGCAAGCAAACAACCAAGCAAACAAATAATCAGTCCAACAGGCAATCAATCAAAGAAAAATGGAAACCTCAATCAATCAATCAATCAATCAATCAATCAATCAATCCATCAACCAACCAACCAACCAACCAACCAACCACCAACCAACCAACCAACCAACCAACCAACCAACCAACCAACCAACCAACCAACCAACCAACCAACCAACCAACCAACCAACCAACCAACCAACCAACCCTAGCAACTCAAAGCAAATCAAATCAAATCAGTCAAGCAAGCAAACATGCACACACAAACACACACACACACACAAGCACAGAGCCAACACAACACACAACACATGCAAACACAAAGCACGCAAACCACAAACCACAACACACACACACACACACACACACACACACACACACACACACACACACACACACACACACACACGCAAAGCACCCAAAAAATAAATACGCAAACACAAAGTACCAAATGGGAGCAGGCAGGCATCTGCAGTGAATCTTGTAAACCTGCCTTGCGCATTCAATCAGCGGGAATGCAGTGGCCAAACTCTGGCTGGATAATTATTTTTTGAGGGAACAAGTTTCTCAGGGCGTTGTGGGTGAAGCCACTAAGCCTGTTGCGGCTTGGTCTACTGCAGGATCGTCAGAACCTGTTGCCAACGGCATAACGCCCACTTCTCAAAGTTGCACACTGCGAGCCCGGGGCCTTCCAATGTTCCCATGACATTTCGTGCTCTCCGGCCCTTTTCGTTAGCTCTGCTTGTGTCCACTGCCTCCTTATCTCTTGGAACATTTGGTTGGAGCATCGGTCGCAGCTACAAATGACAGGATCGTTCGCAGCTTCAAACTATGGCAAGGTGTGTCTGTGTCCATGCCTTGTCTGCCAGCTTGGAGGTGAGCGGCCCGGCGGAAGAACGGTCACATGGCTGGTTTAAAAGGGGCTGTTCAGTTCATTGCTGGATTCCTATGAGATGCTCCGGGAAAACGAGATGATCCTGCATCCCGTACTGGAGATCTTTGACGCTGAGAGGGCAGATGCTGCTTGAGCTCGACTCAGTCGAGTCGCCCTTCCAAGAAGCCGCACGGCGGCCCTTGCACAGTGAAACGAGAGATCGGCCAGGCTGCACTGAGGCGCGCCAGCGCACCGTCCACGTTGGGCCAAAGAGCCGAATCACAAGGACTGCACCACGCTGCGCACAGGAGCCTTGGGGCATGTCGCCTGAGAGCGCGCAAGTGCCAGGCTGGGCGCTCCAGAGACGTGTCAGGGTTCATGATTTCTGCAAGCTGGCTGCAATCATACTATATGATGGTCACTCCCGCTCACGTCCCCAGGATAGCCCGCCCCTGGTACTTGGGTCATGCAACCTGTACATGCAATCAGCCTCGGGAGTAGCGTTCAAACAACTTCTGGGCTGTGAATCGCTGGCCTCTCTCAGAGATGCAGCACCAAGAGGAAATCAGATTCAAGCTGTGAGGCATCAAGGCGTCCACAGCTTTGGCGCATGGCTGCAAATTTGGGCAGCCAGAAAAGCACCATGAACACATTGATTCGTACATGCAAGCGTGCCTCATAGGCTTTAAAATGGCGCCTCCTCCCTAATGCTATCTTGAGCAGTTGTCCCCTATGAGTGGCCACTCAGAAATCTGGCAAGCTGATGCCTGGCGCAAGCTCGATCTGAGGTCAGAGGTGTCAAGCACCATAGCCAGGTGGACACGGGCTGAATAAACAGCAGGAGAACTGCTCGAAAGTTGTGTTTTTGGTGCGTCCTCCATGCAACACGCATAACAACGAATGATCTTTCTCCCCAGAAAGGTTCTCTTTGCAGCCACTCAGAGTGAATCTCAAACTGCCATGACCCATACGTCTGGAATGTGGCACGCTTGAGCTTTGCAACAAGATCGAAACACCCAACAACTGGGACAGTGCACCCTCTATACACAATGTCCATTGGTCAGAGGGAAATGTGTGAAATAAATCCCTTCCTTGCAGCAGGGTGCGCCGATATTGCTGAGGGGATGGGATTGCAACAAGGCACCTCTGCACCATACTCAGCTCCTGATACGACCAAGGTCCGACCTGGGCAAGTGAAGAACCCTACAGTACCCAATGTCATCGAAACAAGAACCCCCGCCCCCGTTTGATCCTGCCTAATGCGTTCAAGCCTCTGCTCAGCAAAAACCAACAATACCAGTAAGCTCGTCTTGTGATTGGGTTCCACATGGGACTCCTCCTGCTGTTCCTTTAAAACCCGAAAGGGCAGCCAGAAGGGCACATGTCTCCAAGGGAATCGCGGCACGGTTGGCCGCACTGATATAGAAGTTTGAGGATTTGGGTTGGGCTGATTGGGTGACTGGTGTTTGATGGCTTGTGATTGAATGCAGGTGTGTGTGTGTGTGTGTTGTGTGTGTGTGTGTGTTTTGGCTGTTGGGACGTTGCCTGGGGCTGACGAGTGCAAGCTGCTTGGCAGATTATTCTGCGGTTAGTTCTTTCCCTTCTGCCAGCTGCCTTCAAGAACAGGTGAAAATATGGTACCCCTGAACACCTTCATCTGCCCTAGCTTTGATTGTGGCTCAGGTTCAGCGACAAAAGCAGGAAGTCGAGGCACTCTCATGATCCAGAAACTTGAAGTAGACGGGCTGCAGGACCTTGCCTCTCCGTTTGGGTGTCACGCAACCCGAGTCACACACCGCGCCTTGCTCCGAAAGAGTATGAGCCAGCCCAAAGGAGTCTCCGGCAAGGTCTGCCTGCGGCTTGTTTCAGCCCCAAAACACACTGGATGGTGCAGGCCACATAAACCTGCGTGTTAAGTTTGGGTTGGGACCATCCCGATCAACCCATATTGAGAGGCTCTAACAAACCTCACAGAAACTGACAGAAAATAAGCTAGGGCTTTTTAAAGCGAGGCGAAAGAACTCCTTGAGGTGCACTCCTAGGGAGTTGAGCTGTACAATGCCTCCATCCTAGTCCTACAGCGGCCTTAGGCCAAATTTAGTACATTTCGCTATAGTACACACACTCACAATACCGGGCTTGAAGATTCCCACATGCGAGTGCCGAAGCTGCCTGCTTTGCAGAATGCTTCGATTTTATGCAGAAAAAATGCCGCCCGCGCGCTTTCGATCAGCGGCCTGCCTGGGCCGGACGCAATCCAGATTCACGTTAAACTCGCCAGGCTGGGTGAAGGATGCAGGACCTTTGTCTTTTCGCGGCAAGGAGGACATGCTGTAGCACGGCTGCCGATCCAACTTGCCAAACTTGGCGCAGTGCTTGTAGGCGGCTTCAAACCCCTTCGAGGAGATCGCTTCGCTGCACGCCGCGTACTCTTTCACGAGATCGGGCCGGGGCAGTTGCTTTGCAATGTCCACCTCACCCGGCGGTATGTCAAAAAGCACAATACAGGAATAAACCAAACCCCCTCCCAAAGGCTGGGTTTCGCGTCGGCTTCCCTTTGGAACTGAGCCTTCGGTACCTCCCAGGCATGTGCGGCGGAAGTGCATAGAAGTTACCTTCGGTTGCTTAATTGGACAGCTCATTGTTTTCCCACAAATCTAGGCGCTAAGATCGTAGACCAACCATGCCAAGTTCTATCCAAGTAGCCAGCACGATCGGCTTCTTCTTGGCCAAAGAATTGTCAGGTGAGTGTGAGAGCTCTCGCCCAGCATCATTGCGGTCGGAGGGCTCGCCTGGCTCGGAAGCCCCTCAGACCGCTTTCAATCCGTTCAAGCCAGACCCTTGCTGTGCTGTAGCATCTATGACGTGGGTGCTTCCTAAAATCGCCAACCCTTTTCTTTGGTGGGTGTAGCCCAACTTCTCGGTCCGTCTGTAAAAATGGACGGGGGAGTGATCCCTATACGAGGTCTGTAACCCCCTAAGTTCATGTTCATTGGGATGAAAGTTGGGTAACAGACCTCACATGCCAAGGTCCAAACTAAGTGGGCTGTAGTCACTAAATCAGCCCAGGGGGTATCCTAACAACAGCCATCAGAGCCCTTCGCAAACCCAAGCTTGCCACCAGGAACCAATTCAGCAACTGCTTCATGGAAGGAACTCCAACTGTTCAGCAATGGTTCCATGCGAGCCTTTCGGAAGCCTCCCTCCCAGAAATCTCCGGAACCCTCCGAAAACCCTCCGGTACATTGGTCAACAAGCTTGACACCAACCTCAATGCCCCAAGAGGGGTCTTGCGATGGCAGACACAGGAAGCACGGCTCTCTCGCTCTCTCTCTCTCTCTCTCTCTCTCTCTCTCTCTCTCTCTCTCTCTCTCTCTCTCTCTCTCTCACGCGGCGCCTTCTCGGCGCTCTCGACTCAACGTTGGCTCGTGCCATCCAAAGTCGCAGCTCCTCACCCCGAGCTCCTTGACCTCGCGGTGTGTAGCTGCGCACCCCATACCACGTACCCTTCACATTCCATTGGACACGGGTCCCCCCCAAATTGGACTTAAACCCGGGGTCATTCAATGACCTCTTTGTTTCAGCCATTTGTCCTTGTTATTTTGGGTGGGGGGACCCAAAAGTACGCGTTTCTTAACTGGACCCCTGAACCTGTTTGACTTCCCTTTCAGCGCCTACCAACAGAGTTCCCTGGTTTTAAGACACCCGCATATCCTTCGGAGGGTCCTTTGATTCGACAAGAAAGGGTTGAATACATTTACTGTTGAATACATTTACTGTAGTACACCCCCAATCAACGCAAGTCCGTGTCTGTCCAGGTGCATGTAGCAACATCCAGTGAGAGACGCTTTCGGAAGCACCCCGCATGGCGACCATGAGCAGGCGGCTTCCCAGCTCTATTGAGGATGAGTATCATTCTCAAAGTCGGGCACCACTTGAAGGCAACCCAAACACAATACCTGACTGCATGTTGACTAAGGCATGCCTCAACTCGTTGTGCCTTCAGCCACTATCCTTTGGGACCCGGCCTTCCAGGCCATGCAGTCGGAGTACACACCTCAGCTGAAGGATGAGGGTTTTTCAACGTATGACAATTCCCATATGACTAATTCTGTCATCGTGTCCCCCACTGACTTTGGAACTGTGCGTTCCTAATGTTTTGTTGGTGAGTGTGCCCCATGAATTTTGTGAGTAAACCTGCCGACCATTTTGTGTGTCAGCGAGTTTGGAGGGCAAACGGCGTCTGGGCGGGCCCAAGGAGGGGGATAAACAGGTTCTTCCGCTTGGTTCTTTAGGCCCATGGCATGGGAGGAGACCCCTCGGCATTCGCCCAAGGCCTTGGGCCCCGCGCCCACTGGTGGCACCTCGTCCTTCGTATTGTACAGCTCCTGCTACACTTCAACCCCTTGCGGGTCAACATTGTTCACCCCGAGTCATAACACCCCCTCAAGGTCCTGGAAATCGGCTTTTGGAGGGTAGCAGCAGTTTGGGTGCTGCATTCATGTGTGTGTGTGTGTGCTCCTAGTCTAGTTGCGCTAGGCTCAGTATTGGTGTAGCAGTACTTTGGCACTAGCTGAGTATATAATAGTATTGACCAAGTTTAGTAGCCGTAAAGGTTTGAGCATCTCTGCTTCTGGTTTGGATCAGTGTTGTATTGGTTCATTCGTGTGTTCCCAGTCTAGTCTGACTTATGAGTAGTACTTCAGCAGGAGTTCATAGTAGCACGTTTGCTTCAGGCTAGGCATGGCATCAGTTCAAGCAAACCTAGTGTCGGCTTAGCTTTGCTGATTCTAGGTGAACCGTCGCATAGAAGCACCTGCAGGAAGTAAGGTGATTGTCTCTCTGACTCTGTCAGCTGGAAGAAAGGAACAATCTAAACAGTTTGGACATTTAAAAAATAAAACGTGAAACAACCAAAATAAAACTCTGCTTACTTCTGGCAGTTTTACAGTGTTACCTTTGCTGGGGGACACTTATATAAAGTCAAGCTCGGACCCATGAAAACAAACACTACCACTGAAGTAAACAAAGCACACATGCGCTTTGGGCAGGTTGAAGTTTTTACGTTTACCAGGGAAAACAAACATTCGAAGTTGCCAGTAGCAAAAGATACAGGGCAAAGGCAAAAGCAAACAGTTTGGGCCCATGAAAGGACACCGAAAACCAGCCTGAAGTAAAAACAGGTGCTACGTTTGGCTGGTCTTTACTGGGGAAAAGTACGCAAGTAATATTGCCAGGCGTGAAAAAGAACAAACACACTTCTTTAACAAAAAACAAGTGCGTGAGGCTGTTTCATTGTTTACATATCATTGGTCCAAATGGTTGCGTGTTTTCGTGGCTTGCTTCTCCCCGGTAGAACTCACAAGGTGCATCAACTCTGCGCAAGCATGCTGCGCAGGTCTGCGAAATTCTCTGCGCAATCATGTTCAGAGCACGTTGCTCTGCGCACATTGCCTGCGCAATGGCCCTATGCAAGCTGCCTGCGCCCATAGCTCAGCGCGCATTGCTCTGCGCAAGTTGCCAGCGCAGCGAGGGCGAATCAACAGACACAATCCCTGCAGAGGGTCGCGCGAAAGCCATAAACATCGCAGCAAGCCCTGCTTTTGCACGTCGACTGCACCATTGCTGCGGTGGTCGGGGGGGAATCCGAGCTCGCTCACGCGTTAACAAGTTTCTTCATAGCAAGCAGAGCCGCCTATTCTCAGACTATTCACCTCTCTGCAGATGGCTCTGCGCAGGCTGCTCGGCGCAAGTAGCTCCGCGCAGCTGGATCTGTGCAAGTTGCTCTGCGCAAGTTGGTCTGCGCAAGTCTCTCTGCGCAAGTGGCTCTGCGCAGATGGCACTGCGCAAGTAGCTCCGTGCAAGTTGCTCTGTGAGAAAACGTCCAAGGGATCCGCGCAAAGGAACCCCTCGTGATGCGTTCGGCAAAAAACAGGAAAACCACGAGGCGTTCCGCCAAAAACCGCCAAAAATAAAGCTTTCTTTTTCTAAGGCTGCTGTACTCTTGGCTTTCGAAGGCCCGAATTAACACTGTAAAGCTGGCAGAAGAAAAACACGTTTAACTTTTTGCTGTTTAACTTTGTAGGGTTCATGCGCGCAAAAAGCAACTCGCAAAGACTGTCTTGCGCACTGGATTTGCGCAAGGCAACTTGCAAAAAAACAAGACATGCGCCTTTGTTTTGGATTGACATTTGTCGTTTGCACTTCCCCACATCATCATTGTGTGGGATCGGGGTCTGGTGTTGGGGGGTGGGGTTGGACCCCCCCATTTTCTAAAACATGCTCAATTTAGAAACGGGGGGGGCCAACCTCGGTCCGACGTGGCACTGGGCCAACCCCCAATCAACCCAAATGAGGGGGTCCAACCCCACCATGAAAAAAAGAAAGCGGCGGCGTCGTGAAAAAATGGGGAGGTCAACCTCCATTACTGTCATCATTTCTGTTATAGTGCGTGGCTCCCTTACAAGGTATACTTTCAGTGAGATGCGACATAAACCCCTCTAAACTCAAAAGAGTTGAACATTGGGTTGAACATTGTTTTGCGGGGCTCAGGAAAAAACCGGCGGGCGGTTACTTACGGAGTTCCCAAGATTTCCTCTTCAAACATCACACCAGGCAAATCACATGATAAATTAGAAACAAAAACACGGAAATATCGGGAACCCTGACTTATGAACTCATGGTGCAGGAAACATGTGTCTGCCGTTGCGCCTTTGACAGCAACTTCTTGCTGCGCAGGCACCGCGGCTTGCAACGTACAGGCTTGCTCATGTACCCGAGAATCCGAGCATGGGAAACCAAAGAAAACGATCTTCTTTTTGGAGTCCCTAAGGGGGGGGTGGTCCAGGGGGGTTCCCTAAGGCTTAAGGTTCCCTAAGGAACAACCCTGCAAAACGCTTAAGGAACCCTAGGGCTGTCAACTACCCACCCTCCTTGTACCTAGCCCCCCTAGGGTAAGGAACCCTAGGGCTTTTCTTTCTGGTCTCTTGCAACCAAATAGCTGCGCGGATATGCGGATTTTAGAAGAAGGGGCCTTCCAACTCGGTCTATTTTTCAACCAATCCAGACTGGGAAATTTCTAATTTTAGAAAATGGGGGGGGGCCAACCTAGAACCCTTCCTGACCAGACCCATTTTCTTTTATTCACCATGGGAGGTGACATCCGTAGAAAAAGAGCCTAAAATGGGCCCAACCCCCCCCCCCCCCCCATTTTCTAAATTGGTGTCGAACCCGGATGTGTGGGGTTCTTGTCTTTACTGTCTTGGCCCGTGTCTCGCGCATTGTCTCCGTGCGCTCCACGTCCTCGAGGCGCACTCCTCCTCCGCCGCCTTCTTGCGTGGCAGGCGCAATACTTTCTGCACTCCGATGCTGTTTCGCGTGTGGCAGGCGCAATACTTTCTGCACTCCGATGCTGTTTCGCGCGGCAGGCGCAGTACTTTATCTTGCCTTGCGAAGGTTGGCCGCCGTGGGCCGCCGTGGGGCGCGGTCTTCTTGCGTGGCAGGCGCGATTCTTTCTGCACTCCGATGCTGTTTCGCATGGCAGGCGCAGCGCTCTCTGCACTCCGATGCTGTTTCGCACGGCAGGCGCAGTACTTTATAGTACCTTGCGAAGGTCGGCCACCGTGGGCCGCCGTGGGGCGGCGGTCTTCTTGCGTGGCAAGCGCAATACTGTCTGCACTCCGATGCTGTTTCGCGTGGCAGGCGCAGTACTTTCTGCTCTCCGGTGCTGTTTCGCGTAGTAGGCGCAAAACTTTCTGCACTCCGAGCGCAGTACTTTATATTACCTTGCGAAGGTCGGCCGCCGTGGGCCGCCGTGGGGCGGCGGTCTTCTTGCGTGGCAGGCGCAATACTTTCTGCGCTCCGACGCTGTTTCGCGTGGCAGGCGCAGTGCTCTCTGCACTCCGACGCTGTTTCGCGTCGCAGGCACAATACTTTATATCACCTTGCGAAGGTTGGCGGTCTTCTTGCGCGGCAGGCGCAATACTTTCTGCACTCCGTGATTGAACAAATCGACGGGCTGTCGCGCGACAATGGAAAAAGCCTGCAGTGGAAAAAATGGGCATAGTGCCATCTGCGCGACGGAAAAATAACTGGGTATGTGGGGTTATCCGGTCCTTTAGTTTCTTTCGCTTTCGACTTCTGTTCGGTTCTCCCTCTCTCCTCTCTCTCTCTCTCTCTCTCTTCCTCGTTTTTCTCCTGTCTCGCTTTCGCGCTTCCCTCAAAGTTTCTTCCCTATTCCTCTTTTCTCTCGCTTTTGCTCCTTCCTCGCTGTCTTCTCTTTTTCGCCCTTCTTTCTTTCTCTTCGCGCTTTTCTGTTTCCCATCTCCCTCCCATCTCTCTCCCGCCTTCCTGCCTTTCTTCCTGCCTTTCTTCCTCCCTTCCTCCCAGCCCCTCATCTCTTCCTCTTTTCCTCTCTTCCTCTCTTCCTCTCTTCCTCTCTTCCTCTCTTCCTCTCTTCCTCTCTTCCTCTCTTCCTCTCTTCCTCTCTTCCTCTCTTCCTCTCTTCCTCGCTTCCTCGCTTCCGATCTTCCTCTCTTCCTCTCTTCCTCTCTTCCTCCCCTCTTTGTGTTTCTCTCTTCTTCTCTTCCTCTCTTCCTCTCTTCCTCTCTTCCTCTCCTCCTCTCTTCCTCTCCTCCTCTCTCTCTCTCTTTCTCTCTGTCTCTCTTTCTTTCTTTCTTTCTTTATTTCTTTCTTTCCTTTTTTCTCTTTTATTTTCTTCTCTTTCTTTTCTGCTCTTTACTTTTCTTTTCTTTCTTTCTTTCTTTCTCTCTGTCGCTCTTTATTTATTCATTTACTTATTGCTTCATTTCTGTCTTTCCTTTCCTTTCCCCTCCTTCCTGCCTTCCTGTCCTTCCTGTCCTTCCTGTCCTTCCTGTCCTTCCTGTCCTTCCTGTCCTTCCTGTCCTTCCTGTCCTTCCTGTCCTTCCTGTCCTTCCTGTCCTTCCTGTCCTTCCTGTCCTTCCTGTCCTTCCTGTCCTTCCTGTCCTTCCTGTCCTTCCTTCCTCCCTTCCTTCCATCTTTCTTTTCTTTTCTTGAGTTTCTTCATTCTTTTCTTGTATTTCTTTCTGTCTTTCTGTTTGACTTTGTCCTAGGGATGGAGAGTCGTCCTTAATTGGGGTGATTCTAGTGGCTGCAAGAATGGATGCCGGTTTATTTGGTTTTCGAGCTGGACACAACATGGCACCAGGCTCCCACAAGGGGCCCCGATTTTCGACTGGCAGTCGTCCTTGCGGCCAGGCGCCTTGAAGGCTCTCGTGTGGCCAACCGCCTGCGGCTGGGCGGCTGGAGGCAAAGTCTGCTTCATGCTGAGTGCACCTCCCTGGCTTTCACAATCACCGGAAGCTTCTCAGGTTCTGGCGCCTGCCACATTCAGATAGGCAAACCCACAGCACTTCTCGCGCCAGGTGACGCAGTCCGATGAGTCCGGCCAGGCCTTCTCTTGCGGCGGAGCAGCAGTCACCTTCCTCCGCGCAAACTTGGCGATGAGGTCCTGGCTCAAGCCTGGCAAACAAACACTGGGCAAACCAGAACTTGTTTAAAACAACTGGATCCTGGCCCCTTTAAAGGAAATCCAAACAGGGCTGTTTAAGTTTTAAACAAGAGGTTGGTGCAAAACGGGGCCTTGGGCAAGTTGAGCTGGTTCAGCTGGTGGCTTTTCCTGGTTGTCGAGCCCGAGCTGTCTTTTCAGTGTCTCGATGTGCGTAGAGGTCTTGCGCCCCACGTTGCTGAAGCTCGTGTCCAGGAACATGGCAACCCCATCCAATGACCTAGCCTGGGCCACCCAGCTTGAGCCCTGCCTTATACAAATCCTCACAAGTTGGCAAAAGTTGCATTTGCTTGGACAAAGCTCTGGCGCCGCGGCCTCCCATGAGAGGCTGATCCTCGCAGTCGCGTGCTGGGCAGTGACTTCGGCAGTTGCAGGGCCGCACCTGGGTCCATGTGGCGCCGCGGGGCTCACACTGTGCACTGCCTCAGCCAATGCTCAGACAGAACACCGCCAGCCCTCTTGTGCCTCTTCAAGTCTTGAACAAGTGGTTTTTAGGGAGCCTGGAAAAGAGGGCCTGAGGCAACTGCTGCAATCGTTGAGAACAGCAGTGCCTTCGCAGGTCAATTGCCGAAGTCAGCGATCGGTGCTGCAACCTCCGGCATCCAGCCTGTACCAAGCGCCCTTGTCCGGACATCATGTCTTGTGTGCGTGCGTGTGTGAAGGGGGCAGGTACAGTCAGCTCCGAAACGGCATCAGAATGTGCCAGCGTCATTGGCAAAATCACCCGTGGCAAGCTCACAAATCTGCAAGCAAGGCCACACTTCGATTGCCGCCCGGTTCCACACTGCACTTGGCGCTTTTCTGACCGCGCCTTTACTGACTGCGCCAGTGAAGAGACATGGGTTTCACATCTGGACATCTGCCAGCACAAGCGATGGCGAATTCCAAGTCAAAGAGGCGAAGCGGGTATGGCTCAACATGTGCGACCCGGACTAGACTTCCTGGGTTCCCTTTACCAACCAGCACCATCCCTCATTATCCTCATGTGGCCTCAGCGAATTTTGAAGTGAAACAAAGGCCGCAAGGCCGCAAGGCCGCATAGGGCCCCAAGCCTGGCCAGACTCAGGACGCTGGCGCCAGCGCGGCGCCAGCCGGAGCGGCGGCAGGGGCGGGGGCGGCCGCAGCTGCGCCTCCCGCTGACTTGCGGCCCTCTTTTAGACTGGTGACGCCTTGCAGCAAGTTAGTTTGGGATTTGTTTTTTCTTTTTCATTTTTTCCCCGTCCGGGCCAGAAAAATGCATCACCAACAAATCGTGGGTAACAAAATCAAAAAAGTAGCTGGCGGGTTGGCATGGTCAGAAAAATGATTCAAGCAGGAGGGCATTTCAGGGGCAGCCGCCCCCCATGATGTTCGCAGAAGTGATGATTCGAATAGGGGCGCAATTAAATCTCTGCAAGAAGTCTAAAAAAGTAGCGGGGCCCATGATGTTCGAAGAATTGATGATTCAACTAGGGGCGCAAACTAAATCTGTGTAGAAAATCTAAAACGTAGCGGGGGGGTGGGGGGGGCGGCAGCCCCCCCCATGATGTCGGAAGAAGTGATGATTCAAGTAGGGGTGCAATGATTCAAGTAGGGGTGCAATGATTCAAGAAAGGGTGCGATAGAATTTAAAAGGCAGCGGGAGGGTTGGCTGGGGTGGCTTCCACTATGATGTTCGAAGAAGTGCATACATACAGACATACATGGATTACACAGATTACCTAAAATGTCCTATTTTGCAGCAGTTTCTCGCGAAATTGGACGCTCGAAAAAGTGATGGTTCAAATAAGGGTGCAATTCAAACTCTGCAAGAAATCTAAGAAGTAGCGGGGGGGAGGCGGCAGGCCCCCCATGATGTTTGAAGAAGTGTTGATTCAAATAGGGGTGCAATTACTCTGCAAACAATCTAAGCAGTAGCGGGTGGGTTGGGGGGGGGCTTCCCCCCCATGATGTTCGAAGAAGTGATGATTCAAATAGAGAGGAACTGGTGATGCTGATGATGCGGGAAGCCAAATCCAAAAACCAATGAAAGGGTGCAAAAGCCAAAAAGCCCAGAGAGGAACTGGGAAAGCAGAGGATGCGAAAGCGAAAAAAAGCCACCAAAAGCCCCAGAAGCCAAAAAGCCAAGAAGCCAAGAAGCCGAAAAGCCAAGAAGCCAAGAAGCCAAAAAGCCAAGAAGCCAAGAAGCCAAGAAGCCGAAAAAGCCAAGAAGCCAAGAAGCCAAAATGCCAAGAAGCCAAAAGCGAACAAAGAATCCAAAAAACAACACCGAAAAAATCCTAAAATAAATACTCCTCCGTTTACCAAAGGTAGGTCAAAGGGCCACATTGCCTCCTGAGGCTAGAGTAGTAAAGCCACGGCAAATCAAACACATGCAAACTGCCAATACTGACCACCCATCGAGCAGGGTTTGATTAGAATATCGAAGGGCATAATTGGCATAATGTATGTGCGCCGAACAAGGGTATGGCTGATGGATCAGGGGATGGGATGTCCACTTCATGAGCCACCAGCCTCCAGCATATCCACCTCCGCCGCTCAGCCGGGCTAGTCGCGCTGCTCGCATTGCCTGGAAGCATCACACAATGCAAAAGCTCTTGATCCGCTGGCCAACGGCTTCTTCTCTCGGCAACGTTGGCCTCCGCTGATGTCACCGTGGCTCCCCCAGTTGCCTCCAAAGCATGATTCGTGTGAGGGGCACTCACGTCTCAGCCCTCAACTATCAATGATCATCAACTGGTGCTTGATTGCGCCTGTCCAGGAGTTTTCCACACCTTCAGGGTTGGCATGCGACCTTTGGGTTATTGGTTCTATCAAAATGTGTGTCTAAGTTGATCTCGTCTTTACTATACTCCGTACTATACTCCGTACTAAGCCAGGTAGTAGATCCTCCATTCAACGGCCAATGGGGGGTTTTGGTCACTGCTTACGATAGTGATTCAACCATGATTCCAACTGGACACCTTGTCTGGATCAATCTCCTCACAAAGCTTCTCCACGTCAAAGCCATCAGCCTTGGTCGGAGGAAGCCGACCGACACCCTACTATCCAATGAATGAATCAGAGCGTGGCAAGTCTTGGGAGCCCTCAACAAATCCAAATAGCTTGGCTTTTTGAAATGAGTCAATAGAGGCCTTTGATGTTGAGCTTCGCCACGGCTGCATTTTGCGCCTCTGAGGCGCCGTCCTTTGGGTTGGGCTGGTACTGCCCACCGGAACCTGCCTGGACGATGCCTGAGAACGAGGCACCTGCGAGCGTAGCATCACACCTCCCTTCCAACAAGCCTGCAAGGTGATTATCAATTTGACGCAAACCCCTGGTATGAAAGCCGGTGGACAAGAGAACCTGGATTTGGGCGCTGCTGGGTTGACTCCCATGAGCTAGGTGTCCTGTACTCGTCGGCTTTTTGTCCCGCCGCGCTTTGCATACTCTTGGGAAAGCCTCACGCAACTTAGCCTCCGCACCTTTGGTGCCGTCAAGTCACGGCGTCTGGGCAAACAACACTTGCCTCTCTCTCTGATCCTCATGCTAGACAGGAAACAGGGGATGGAAACCAGTCCTGGCATGGAGCTGAAGAGTAATTGGATCCTGGCCTACTACTTGACCTGGGGCATCGGTTCGCATGCACTTGCGCTCTGCAATGCAAGGCGTCAACACTGTGCCTTGGGCAACTGTGACGACATGGTGGAAAATCAGAGCACCCAAGCCAGAATCTTGCTAGAGGGGAGTGCTGTTGGCCTCGGTCAGCTTCCTCTTTTTGAGATCATGCCACGAGAACAATAGCCCGCCACCCTAGCGGCCGGATGATCTGAAGTTGTAGGTTCCATGAAGGTCCGTCTCACTTCTCTGTTGCCAGATACCTGCCACGGCACAGCATGGACAAACCCTTCCATTCGTAGACTTACACCCACGCGCGTTTCACTTCCCCAAAAGGTGCACTCTTCACCTCGTGACAGAACCTCAACCGCTCCTGCTCCAAGTCGCAGAGTTTTGGCCTCCGACACGCCCACGAAGGGGATCCTCGCACGGCAAGCGGCCCAACGTTTACAGTTAGGCGACTCGTGGGAAAGATCTGGAACCTCCGGCTAGCGCGTCCCGTTTCAAAGGGGACCTGGATCAATTTTGGGAGCCTATGCCGGGCCTATGCGTCCAACAGGTTGCTCAATCCGAGGTGAACCTCAGACTTCTGAACGTCCTGGCCTCCTCTGCTTGAAGGGCGTGGTGCGAAATTTCTCCTGGCACGTGGGCTTGCTTCAATTCAAACTCAGGCTCCAAGAACACGCCTCGGAGCTTTGTTTTATGCTTTGGTTGATCTCTGATTCTGGACGGCTGGAAACGTGGACTGGCCATATGACTTGACTTGGAAAGGCTCGTGAAAGGGTCCGCTCCTGCGGCTCTGCTTGACGAGCGGGCTGGCCGTACTTCTCTAGCCACGCTGCCAAGGAGTGCACACCAGTGTCGGCGCTGGTGTTTCTCACACTCCTTCCAGACTTGTACGGCTGTTTGGGCCGTGCTGGGGCAAGTTCACAAAATAACTTGAAACATGTCCAGAACCCTCCCGACACCCTCCCAAACTGGAACCCTGGATTGGCACACTGACACGCAGTCAGGGAAACAGCCCCACCCCCTCCTGTAATCATCGCGCATGGCCTTGTCCACCGCTTCCTGCGGGGAAGAACTGTAAAGGGAGCTCTCAAGAATCTGTGGGTACTCTTTTCAGGGTGAAACCAAAAGAGACCGACCTGTGTCAGGATTTCCGACATACAAGCACAAATCCGGACCCGCAGCGTCCTGCTTGGCAGAGATCTCGCTGGCGATGGCGTTCATGGCGTGCATGCTCCGCTGATACTCATTGCTTTGTGCTGCATTTGGAGGCACATGCCTATCAGGAAAGACCACATCCATCTAGCTTTCATCAGCTGCTTGCATCTAGTTCTAATGCGGGCAAGCTGAAACACTGCCACCCCGACTTGCAAAAACACGAGCCCCTGAGATCATGGCATCCCTCAACCCTCACCCTCGTTGCCCCATGCGAGCCCCTCTTGCCTGTAGTTGGGTCCTCCCCATGTCTTGCTGGCAATTGTGTCCTCAGGGCCAGCTCAAGGGCTGTCTCAACCACGGAGGGATACATCTCCCGACCTTCTGCAAGGCCTTCACATTCCCTGGACGTAGCGCGGTCAAACAACTGAGCAGATTTGACCCACTGAAGATGACTCAAAGGAAGCCGTGGCAATGGCTTTGAGCTGTAGGCCCCTGGCCAGTTTGAAAGTGAAGGTCTTCTTTCACCTTCTTGCCCCACTCGCGGGCCATGTCAGCTTCCTGCAACCAGAAAAACTAATGTTCGCATGTGCAAAAGTGGATGCATTCGTTTTCAGTGTAGCCTTGGGGGTTGCTTAAACCATATTATGGAAATCAGGCCCCTTTTGGGCGGCTCCACATTTTGAGACAAGACCCCCGGTTCAGTGTAGAAGAGGGTTCAAGACCACCTTCATTTGCTTCGCCGCATCCTGCCTGCTTCATGTTCTCCAACCTCGAAGCGGAGATGGAGCGCTGCTGCACCCTGCCGACGGAGTTCTCACTTAATGAACAGTGCACTTTTCCACATGGGTTCCCCGTTGGCTGCCATTGCAAACAACCCCGAATACGATACCCCAAGGGCCTGCTTGGAGCATCAAGGGTAAGGCGGCAAATCCCATCCTGGCGCTAGAGGCGCCGGCAAGCGCATGACGTGCACGCAGCATGATGCCTGTAGGCATGTGTCCGCAATGGAGAATATTTGATGTGTCTGCTCAAAACAAGTTGGCTTCTTTTGATCTCCCTTGCAAACCAACTGAAAGGGAGTTCAAAATCAACCCTGGAACTGAAAGATCCTGCCCAGAACCATCCATTCACCAGGGCGAAACGCCACACCTGTGTCTAGTTGAGACTTCTCTACCAGCCTTCACTTGCGGATTGATTGTGAAAAGAGCTCAGGTTTGACAGCTTCGCTCCTCGGAGCGCTTCTTGGTGGAGTAGCCATCCATGGCATTCCAGGGCTTGGACCATCGGCTGCTCCCTTCGCAAAACGCGTACAAGGGATGGTAAAGGCCGCCCGTAGAGTTTGCGATGGGACCATCAATAAAACTATGCCAAACGGAGTTCAGAGTGGCCCAAAATCCTGATTGAGCTTTGTGCAGCCGATGCATCTTGTTCCAAACAAAAAAGAACCACGCCCAATGGTGCAAAGGGAAGGCACCCAGTTTCTCCATCTGCCTGTACTTCTTGTCGATTCGCCTGCAAGGCACGGAGAAAATGCCAAATGTGCCATGCGGCTTGAAATTGCAGGGGGAGACTTGTGCAAAAGGTAGAACAAGGCAACGTCGGAGAAGGAGTTGCAATTCTTGCGCAGCCTCATGGCAGGATGCAGGCTGTGTCAGAATGCAACAGGCCCAAAATCCTCCCTCCACCTGTTGCGACATTACACTTCGTCATGAATGATGCGTCGGTTCATGACTGGGTCAGCTGCAGGTCGTACCTCCAGCTTCCAGTCATCTCTTGGACCCCCCTCCCCAAATCAAAACTCAATCTGAGAACATGCATGTGAGAGCACGTTCCCGATACGAAGAAGCGCTCCAAGGCTGCTCTCATCTGGGAGCCAGTGTACGGGGACATGCCCATCTCAATCACCTGCGCTTCCAAAGGCAACAAGGCACTAAGCCTAACAGAGGCACCTCAGGCTTCGAGTCAGGCATCTGTGGATTCTTGTGCGACATCAGGCCGCTGGAAGAAGAAATCCCACCATCGCTGAAGAAATACTCCTCGAGCACTCTGACATTCTACAGGCTCAAGCTGTGACTCCTTGAGGCAAGGGCATCTCCATTGACAACGACGGATGAATGATAAGCAGTTGCCTGGCAAACAAAGCGCGAAAGCTGCACAGCTATGTTCTGTGGAAGCTCATGCGGCCATGGCCACGGCTACCTCAATAGGGGGGCTTTGAGATGGTTGCAAAAAAAGCAAAACATGGAAGCGTTAATGACCATCCGATGAATCCGATGCCCTTTTGTTGATGGTACATGTCACAGGCCGGCCCCACGCCAGGAACTCCGCCAAGAACCGAGACGGCAAGCTGCACCTTTCTGAGACACGCTTGTGCGTGTCAGGTGTCCAAGGACTCTTTTAGGCAGGGGGCCTGATTGTTCGCAGGACGGCCCTTTCCGTGACTGGAGCTGTCGCCTGCACAAGTGAATCACGGTCAACATGTCGACATTTGAGCGCAGGTTTCGATTTTGGGGCAAGGATCGGGTTCCCACGCGGGCCATACTCAAGCCTCCTTATGCTCGAGGCCTTGGCTTTCTTTCAGAACAAGTAAAAAGCCATCGCCCATCCTTTGGGAAAGGCCCACATTGCGCATTCGTGGCAATGTGCGCCGAAAGGGTCCTAACTGATCACGCAGGGAAATGGCCACTGGCAGAATTGGTAGTCTTGACTCCATACACCCCAAAACCAGTAAGACAAACCCAGAAAATCCCAAACATATCTCGAAAACATGCCGTCTCCAGGCTTTGGCCTATCTTAGGTGTGGATTTGGTGCGTGTAAGCCCTTGAGATGCACAGAACGGCATGTCAACCGCAGCCGGGCCTCCAGGGGCCCCGTCGGCAGCCTGGCAAGTCAAGGCTCGCCTGGTCAACTTTTGACAAGGAACTGTTCTGGCCCATCTTTCGACCGGGGTTCAAGCTTTGACTCAAAGTCATGTCGGCTCTGGCCGAGCGCGAAATACTGGGGCCCGTTCAGTAGACTGTGCCGAATTTTGCGATGTGAAGAGGGCAGGGTCTCTACTTGGTGGCCAAACAACATGCAGATTCCAGAACCTAACTTAATTTGTAGGAAGAGGTGGGGGTAACCTGATCTGCGCAGCAAGGCTGCAGGGGACACCTAGACACTCGAAACTGCGCCTTAGCTGCAGATTGCTGTCCACCCATCGCGGGGTGAGTTGTTGACGGATCTCGGATGTGGCTTGGGCCAGCGGCGCCAAACTGGCTTGCAAGGTATGCCTTGTGAAGTCCTTAAATCTATTGCTGTTCCCTCAACGCTTTTCCAGGATAAAGCTTATCTGCAACGGCTTCAAGAATTTGCCCGACAACACATTGCTAAAGCTGGCCGAGTGTGCACGCCCTCCGGCCCGGCTTCAAGCTCGGCCGCAGGTGTCCCTTAAATGCAATGAACTGCGACGCCTGCACACACCGCCTAAGACGTGGAGCTTTAAGACACGTTGCCATCCCGCTGTCTCAGGGATGTTTCCCTGAAGCGGTACGCTTGGAATGACCAAAGGAGCTATATAACAACATATGGCAAACGACCGGGCGGAGGCCAACGGATTCAAAAACTTTGAGATGCTACACCAGCTTGCCCACCCCCGTCACCTTTCGGCGGCAGATGGGGCAAATCAAATCACGAGAAGGGTACCTGGCGGTCGGCCAATTCCCCGAGTTCCGGCTGTTTGGAGCCGATCTCGCTGGCCAGGTGCAAGTGCCCAGAGAGAAAGAGAGAGAGCATCCAATGTGCTGTTGTTTGTTGTGCTTGGTAGCATTGGTCAGCAACATTGCAAAGCTATGGCTCTGTGCTATTACCCCATGAAAAGCGCACACACCGGTGTGAAGAGCTGTGTGGTGTGCTGGGTGCAGTGCCTGATGCTTGGCTTTCTAATACACTTCTGGTCCTGATAGCAGGTCTACGATGGCAGTGCCCACCACAGGTACGATTTACAAATGAACGGGCATCATGCAGACTGCACACTTAACATTTGTGTCCTGTTCAGGAGGTGACCTCTTGGCATTAAAGCTGCATGCTTTGGGACAAGCTGCGCGTTTGCAGCATTCAGATTACATCGAGTGCGTGCATTTGCAGCTTATGCGTGCTGGCCTGCGCCTGCATGCGAAGCCAGTGGTGCGTGACGGTGAGCGTGAACATGTAAATTCTGTACAAACAAGCCGGGGAAGCGAATCTGTGCATATCCAACCTTGGCTCCACGAGAGCAATGCGCAAACCCTTCACACTTGGTTTCATGATTTCTGCAGGCCCTCACTGTACTCCTCGTCAAAACACGAAGGAATCAAGCCCGTTTCCCGAAAAAGAGACCCGCAAAACTGACTGGCTTCCTTTTGCACCTCCGATCGGCCCCTCCATCTGTGCTGAGCAGTGGCTTCGATAGCAGCCGCCGTGCAGCGAGTGCCGGCAGGGAAGCAGCGCGATAATTGCCTCCCGGAAACTTCGATGAGATGTGCACCTCTTGCAATAGCTGGTTCCACGTGTGCGGGCGCGTGCGCACATGTGTTTAAACCCGGAACCATCGATGTTCGATTAACCATCAGACATCGATTCCTTGTTTTGATGCACTCCCAGCCCCTTGCCCCACCCCTCAACTGGGCCTCTTCCTCAGCTCCGAAGCAGATGCAACATGGCTCACCCTCGCCATAGGCGACATTCACTGGCACCTTCCTGGCAAGGGCAATTGGCACGGGCAATTGAAAACTTTTCCCATGAGAAGAGGCAGTACGCTTAGAAGAAAACCTTGCAATGGCTGTCTACGCTCCCTAGTAAGGAGTCCAACCTCAAGGAAACGGGTGTTTTGACCATGGCATTTTTTCTTGTGGCAATGAATCATGGGTCCAACCACTCCGAACCCACCGACAGTTCAGATCCAAGAGGGACCTACACGCTCCCACACCACTAATCCCCCACCCCCCACTCCAGAAAAAAAGACATGATGTGTATCTTTGATATAGTGGCTACATATGTGTCGAGCGGCAGCGGACTGTTTCGACTCCTTGAAAATTGGAGCCTGCGCGGCGGTCGGATCAAACCTGACATGTACTGCAATCTCATGCTGTGGATGTGACTGAAATAGGGAATCATCTGACATGCTGCCTGCATATCCATAGCACTTACTGCATTTGGGGTACTTCCTCGCACTCTTGTAGTGCGGGCAGCGCTCATGTGTATGGTACACAGTCCCGTTTGTGGTTATCCGGGCTGCTTTGTTCCTATGCCTGGCCTTTCCCGGCCTCATGGCGCTCACCTCTGGTTCGCTGTCTGCGGAGTCCGGAATCGTGCCGTTCACGCGTGCCTGCGCGCCTCCCTCTTGATCTCCCTCATGAAGGAGACTCACCAATGTCGAATGTCCCTTGCAATCCTTGCAATTCCTTTATAGAGGCCCCTCTCACAAAGTTCATCAAGGTCGGCTCGTCCTCCATGCGAAACTCACGCGCTGCATCTCTGAAGTGGATGTGCCAGCCGTCCGTTGCCTGGCAGGCACCTGACAAGCTTGTACCTCTTTCCTTTGTAGGTCATCGATGCCCTCTCTTCATCCGGCTGGGACACCATCCTTGACGTCGATGACCTGCCTGCACACCGTAGTAGTGCGGGCAACATGCTGCCAAGCGCAGCAACATCTTAGGAATTGCCATCAGCGATGTGGGGGGCGAACAAGTCCTCCACACCCACGCTCCACCGAAACTGGCGCGCAACAAGTCTCGCCCTCCGGAACCAGCCTCCTTTCTCCTCTCTCTTCTTCCAAATAATGACCATCTTGGTGGTGACGTCGACGTAGTCGTTCTCCTCGTGCGGCTGCAGCTCCGTGAGGGCAGGCGTTGCCTTCAACCTTGAGATCTCTTCTTCCTCAGCTCTTCCATTTCCTGAATTTCCTCCTGGTCAAACTCCATGACCTGCACGATTTCAGCCCCAAGCGTTAAAATCCAACTTGCCTATCTTGTCCCAGACATTGCTGTCTCCGTGAGGCGTGACCGTGATCTCATCCACATTGAACTCGTCCATGCCTCTCTTCTTTGAAGGTGACTCCTCCTTGCTGAGATCTTCACCTGGCCGTCCAGCTCCATGAAACGCTGCTGCCTCCTCTGATTTCCTCATGGCTTTCGCCCTTCTCGCACTCTCCTCTTCTTCTTGCCCCCTGGACCGCTCGTCGCTGCTGTTAATACGTGGAGGCGTTTGCCTCAACACCCGCGGCTCTGTCAGAGCGGCTGCTGCTTCTGCTGGCGCTGGCGCCGATGAGCTCCATTGGGTCGCCTCCGTCAGCCGGCTCCTCGGCTTTCCTCGTTTCTGCAACTGAAAACCAGCAAACTTCACTTCGGCGGGGCGCCCGCCTGCCGTGCTCTGCGGTTACTATAAGCTGTCAACCTGACCAGCACGCTTGCCACATTGCACTCCTGTCGCTCGAAGCACAGCTTGCATCCGCCGTCGGCCAAACTTCTGGAGACCTCCATAGCCACGCAGGAATTACGCGCGCTGTTTCTGTCATGTTCCATGGTGTTCAACTAGACAGGTGACCGCGCCACCGTGACAGGCACAACACGTTGACGCCAACATCCCCATCCAACGCCTGTCTGCCCAACAAGTGTACTTCCCATGGCTCTTTGGAAAGTACCCGCCCATATTCACAGCGCAAGTCCAAGGAGTTTTGAAACAAGTCTGACAAACTGCGGCTGTCTAAGAATTCATATGAGTCACTGACAGTAGTACTCATTTGTTTGAGGAGGACATGGGAGACATCAAAGGTCCCAAGACAACTTTGGGCAACAAGGAGTTGTCTTTGTTGTCAGAAGCGTTATGAACCAAATCAACTTGGACAAACGGGTTCGTTTGCGGTCAGCTGTTGCACAGGCGTTTGCCACCATCAGGTTTAAGTTGGGACGCACGCGCGTGATGTGTACACAGCTGTGATGTCCTTCTTGATCGCGGTCAATCCACGAACAGTTGCCAAAATACAAGCCAGACCCATAATCAGGCGATTGGCAACATGGAACGGAGGGGCCGCAAAGCTTGTTGGCGAGCCTTTGCTTGACGAAAATCAAAGACAACGTCCTGCTCTGTCATTTCAAACAAAGACAGAGCATTGCGCGCGCTGAAATGCGGCGCTTCCGGGAGCCATGATCAAGCAGCGCTTGGCGAAGAAGGCGACCAACTTGTTCTTGGACTTTGCCAGCAAACGGCTGCAGGGGGAAACCCCTTCAAGGTAAGAGCTACGCTGCGCGGCCATGTCTGTCACTCAAAGCTTCAGCCCCAAGTGTCTTTCAAGGAAGCGCCTGTCTCGCAGCAGCCGCCCCAGCCCTGTCTTCGCAGCTTCACGGGCAAACGTGCCCATCTCAATCGAGTTTGGGGACTGCCGTTGAGGAACGGATGCGAAGGCAAGGTTTGATTCGCGAGGCGAGTCTTGCGGCACTATCTGTCGCCCTCTCGCAATCTCTCATTCTCATATTGCCATCCTAAATCAGAGGAGTCCGCGAAGGAAGGGAATTCACTGTCGCCGGCGCAGCTTGCGCCGCGCGTTGCTAGGTGCCACCTGCGGCGGCAAAGCACCAGGGCTTTCCGCCAGCATCTCGGGACAGGCGTCCTTCAGCAGCGTCACGCGGGCAACCGAGAGTGGCGTCAATGGCAACGACTTCCTCTCGGGCGATCCTGAAGCAAAGACTGGCAAATTGCTGATGCCGCGCAAGGTTAACTTCATTCCAGCGGCAGCCATCCTGCGACTTGCACTCAGAGGCAAGGAATGCTTTCAAGCATGGCTGCAAACAAATGGATGCAACTGGAGGGGCCATCAAAAAGAAGGCTTGCAGCTCAATATCTGCGGTGAGTTGCCATGCTTGCACAAGGAAGTATCCTGCCCACTATGAAACAATGCAAGAAACAGGTAAGGCAAAAGTTATCATGCATTTGTCTTGCAATACATTCAATGAAGACTTGTCTCAAGAACGATCAAGCGATGAAACAGATTCCTAGGATAGCTTGGAGGATCAGGCATCTAGCGCCTATAGAAACCCAAGTGGCGTTTACACCCCGAGGCCTCTATCCGGCGACTCGAGTCGAGCGATCCCGCCTGCGGCCAAGGCTGCTGAGCCGCCACAGTCGCCGGCGCCGGCGCAGGCACCGCGCCACGTTGGCGATGAAAAGCGCCACGGCCAGAGCAATGGGCCGGGCCTCGAGTTGGAATATGTTGCCGGTGCGTTTGGGTGGCTTACAAAGGAAGCACAAAAGGAAAGTAAGGAAAGTAAGGTTGTTAATATGGGCGGACAACGCAGCTGCTCTTGCGCCGCTATTCCTACCTGCACCTTTTGCGCTCAGGTGTGCCACGTCGCGCTAGATGCATTCTCAGCTAAAGGTCATTCGATGTAAGGCACCTTTGGATCAGCCCCCATTTGCACGATGGACAATCAGATTCCTTCGACTGCTCCTTTTGGATGCCGCTTGTCTACAGACATCCCAGCATGTCCAAGGAATCAAGGCTAGTGCGCGCGAGCTGAGGCAAAGCAATGCACCCGCGACTGCTTAATGGCGTCTAATAGGGCCCAGCAAATTGCCAAGTTGTGCGCAAATGCGTCTAGTTGCGCCTAGTTGCGCTTGGTTGCGCCTAAGCGCTGAATTGCACTTAGTTGCGCCTATAGGTGCTAGGTGTTTCTGCGGCAATGCTGACCCCAAGCGACCAATGGACACAAAAGACACACAGAATATTGCTGTGGTCTAGGGAATTTCAAGTCAATCCAGTCGGCGTTCCTGTCAAAAATTATCAGCAAATACCCGACGGCAAACAAAATCGAACCTTTCCTGACCGCTCGAAGAGGGATCAAACGTTGGTTATAAGAATGGTGCGGCCCTCGGCCAACGCCCACCTCAGTATTCAGACATGCCGCCACCATATCAGGGCGAACATTAAGCTGACATGGGATTTCAGAACGGGTCCACAAACGTTGGTCAATTTCGAGGCCGCGTTGTTGCTGTGTATCAATCACTGAGGTTCTTGGTCTCTCATTTGCAGCGTCGTTTGGGGACTGGCTTGATTTGCGGCTGAAGCACAGCTGAGTACATCAACGTGGTCGGCACCAGCAAGAGTGGGCACCTCACCCGACTGAGCCACGCAATGAGCAATCACTGGCATGATTCCGAGTCGGCTGCGGCATGAGCAGCCAGCCAAAGAAGGCTAATGCCAGCACACCTGGAAATCCACCTGAACGGCGGACTCTGCACTTGAAGAAATGGGCACCTCAAGATTTCGCGCCTCCCTCCACCCCCAGCGCAGAGACCTGAGGCTCGAGAAACAGACGCCCCGGCAGCCGCAATCTGTACGGAAATCTCATTACCATAAAGTCCATGGAGTGGCCGACTTGTTGGCTTCAGCACTCTGGCCCTTATCTGGCAGGGCCCGCATCCTTAGAGGCGCACTTCGCAAGAGAGGCGTAGGGCTTGCAGTGGACCCGAGTCCAACCCGGTCAAATTCATGAGAATCTCCTTGAATTCGAACTGGCAGTCCTGCACGCGACAAACCATTGTCCTTCTCTCTCTTCTCTTTCTCGTTTTCTTCTCGCTCTCGCAGCCGGCCTTCACTTTCGTGCCTTTGGGAATGACGACTGTAGTTTCAATCGCCTGCACCGCTTCAAAGGCCTTTTGAAAATGCTTCCGTCAACCGGCTTCTAGGCACACCAAACTGGCCTGCACATTGTGCCCTTGGTAGTGAAATGGCTGCGCTGCCTTCACCTGAACACACCGAGTTCCCCAGCTGAAGGCATTTCTCTTGTCAGCGCCTCCAAATGCAAGTACTCTACGTGGGAGTCGTTCAAACCTGAGAACAGCGGCTGACCCCGCGCTGTTCGGTTCTGCAATTTGGGCGCACCTTTGGCTTGCGGATGACAAATCCGTGGCGTGATGGTGACATTTTGCGTGCTGTTCCACCACGTCGCCACCTGATTCGGATTCACAAAGCAGCCCTGCTCTGCCTTTGTAACCCCATCGATTGGTTTCTTGTGGCAGTCCCTTCACTCAAACCGGGGGACCGGAAAAGTAGAAACCACACTCTCGGCAGCAGAAAGCCGATGCATCCGTGCAAGCCATGCCTCAGGTGACATTGGCACAAGAAGCCGGACAATCTGCCAAGGTCTTCTGTCCTGTACAGCTTGGCCACTTGCAAAGCACGAACTCAGACATGGCCCAGCCATCAAGCGTTGATTCCGACTCAAGTGGTTGCCACAGCTGCCACTAGACAAAAACCACAAATGGGATCTGGGCTTCGCAGGCCAACCGCTCAGCAACCAGTACAGCTTACTGCACAGAGCCTTCAAGCCAAACAAAGGTTCCTTCTCTCAAATGTCAGTCTTTCCAAAAGCAGAAAAACATGAGGAAAACAAGCACCATAGGTATGTGTTTAAGGGGGAGGAAAACCTGGTGTTAGGCTGAACATGTGATCCAAGCCACCGCTCCTCATGGAACTCCACCGTGCGAAACGCAGGGTCAGCGGAGGCCTCCCGACGCGGCTACACCCTTTTGCCCGTTGAAAAACAAAAACACAAACTCCTCCACTCACAGGCTTATTCGGACTCAGACAGATTTGCCCCTTTAGCTGCAAGCTTCCAATACTTAAGGCAATAACTAGTGGTTCATTAACCCACAAACTAGGGGCTCATATCAGGAGCTCCTGTCAAAGTTCATACATTCAATGGCACTGACACATAACATCCTGCAGATTTGCATCTCGGTTGCCCTTGCAAGGCCGCCGTGGCGGGATCAGGTCCTGCCTCCAAAAGATCTTCCTTTTCGGACCTCTCAGCACGGCCGGACCCCAGCAAAGCGATGCACAATGCCAACCACTATCGCAATCCTTGCCTGTCTGGAAAGCAGTCGTTGTCGTCACCTGGCATCACTCAAGGGAACCTTTATGGGCAATATGATACTCGCTTTAGTGCGCATTAGCAGCGGAAATCTACCAAAATCAGGGGGTGTACATTGGGACCCTCAATCTGTTTAAGTACTCTTCTATGCATGAGGACCAGCGCTGACGCAAACTCGCCGAGAGTGCCGCTAGGATGGTGGACAACAATTCTCGAGGAGTTTGCTGCCGCTGCCTACCGAAAGCCGCCGGCATGTACGCTAAAAAAAAACGTTGCCACAGTCGGAGAAATTTAGTGATTTGCTCAAAATCCAAAACGAGCATCAAACAATTCATGTAGAGGCACTGCCAGCCTGGCCCATCGTGCCCGTAGCCTCGGCAAGCTCCAATGGCAGCCCCCTTACCCAAAGCTGCCACTAGGATCCTGGCCAGTATTTGCAAGCGCAAACATATCAAGGCTGCCTCCGCAAATGGCACATGTGACACAAGTGCCCTCTTCCTGACTCTGAATCTGATCTGCGAGTCTGCGAGTGCAAGCTGAGAGTGCTGCAGCAGCCAGCACCGCATAAATGACCCTCAGCACTGCTCGTCGCCAAAGATCGTTCGCAGGACGACGACGTGGCATGGCGCCCCTGGCAATCAACATGCCACCGAAATGGTGCTCTCAGGTCTCAGCGACCGGGGTATTCATGCGAATTGGGGACCTTTGATTTGTTCCAACCACCATTTTGGAGCGGGTTCCTCACTAAAAGTCAAACTTCACAATTGATTCTACAATTGCAGGTCTTGCTGTGTGAATTGGCGAGGCTTGGTTGGCAGGAAGCATAGCTTGGCTCCATACTGGCTGCCTTCCATTCATCAGCACAGCTGTTGTGTTGCCATGGCATTTGGAGAAAGGAACAAAAACTTGCTCACTTTGAAATAGCTTTCTCATTATAGTCAGTGAGCTGCCTCAAACAGTGGTTCCACAAAAAGTGGGCTAGCTTGACAAATGGCCAAGCAATGCAAGGGGCTGCTGAGTCGATCGGTATGCCGTTTGGAAGCTTTCATGAGCCGGTGGCTGGGATGGCTGCGAGCTGAAGGTTGACAAAGATGCCTCGGCAAGACGACAGAACCATGGTACATGGGGCCATGCAGGTGTTTGCATTCAACGTGCGCAAGCTCCGTACTGGCTTCGCCAGACGAGCGCTCTACGGCGCCGCGGAGCAAATGCAAGAAAGTCTTTCGACTCTTGCATGAAAAGGTCCCACGATCGGCACCGGGAGAAAAAAGAGCACCCATCAGGGCGAAGGTGCCAGGTAAAATATCGTGAGGGGCTTTATTCTGGCCCAGGACCAGGATTCTCTGAGTTCCGGCGAGACGCTGGCTTCGTTTCCTGTGTCCTGCACGGACAAACTTCATGCCAAGCTGTGGGACCACCTGGGGATTGAAACGCGCATCCGCGCATCCCAGCCTGAACTTCTTCCATGTCTCGAAGATTCGAGTGTCGTTGCCCTGACCATCCTTGCACTTGACAAGCTTCTCGGTCGCTTGCTTGATGTGCTGTGTCTTGACTGGATCTTTGCTGGCGGCCGCCTCAGGTAGCACCCAACCCTGACATGCGCCAACCCTCGCAAAGTGCCTTCTCCAGCATCTCCAAAATGCACGACAAGGAATCCTGGACGCAGTCCATGTTGCCTTCCAGCTCGTCTCTGAATACGGGTCAGCTTGACCGAAGCATGCGACCGCGCCATCTCCAAAGCTACTATTGATTGACTACCCACACAGCAAGCATGCCTCTCCACCACTCGAAGACGCGCTTCGAGGAGTACCTGGATTTTTCAAGCGGATGTGTGCATGCACAAAAGGGACCCTGTCTTCCAACCCCAAGCCTCTTCTTTGACCTCTTTACTTGTGTGCCGCAAAAACGGTTGGGTACAGAAAAAAAAAGTGTTTCCCCTTGCACAATTTGGGCTCTAACTGGGCGGTCGAGGTGCTGCAGGGTGGCGACATCAATGGCATTGGCTGGGCCCCGCAAGCGCAGGCATCCTTCCAGAAGCTCCTTGGAACAATGCGTTGGTTGGGGTGCCTGATATTTGCTTGATTTATCACCCCGTGCCAAAAGGAGCGCCACAAGATTCTGCTTAAAACCATGCAGTGATGGACCAAACACCAAAACTCAGAGCCCTTGCCTCGCACTCAATGTTGCCGGATTGGTCTGTATCCAGCAGGTTGAAGAGTCCGTAGGCCTGCCCCAGAAAGCCATAGATTCCACCAACATGATTGCAATGGATTGGTCAAGACCCTACCAAGCATGGAGGTCTAACCTCCCACTGGATTGGCCAGCCATGGCCTCCGAAATGTCGAAGCCCAGACTTTCAAAGCATCGCATCATGTCCGGGTTTTCCAAGTGCCTCAGTCAGAATCTGACTTCTGGACCTTTGGTGCAACCTGCCTGCTTCGGCCATGTGCAAAGCACTAGCTGCAGGCGAAAACCACTCTGATTTTTCACTTGCCAAGGGACTGTCGAAACTCCTGACGGGCTATGGCAGTGGATCAAAGACTAAGAGCGAAACAAATTGCAAAATGCTGTCCTCCCAGGAGATGCATCCATCATGTCCAGCATCTACATGCCTCAGGTGTCAACGAGGTACACAAGCTAAGCGCCAGCGCTCACATAGTGCGCATCGAGTTGCCTGAAGAGTTCTTGAAGTTGCTGCCTGACTTCTTTCTCTTCGTCTGCTCTGGTGGACTGCAATGCGGACTCGACGAAGATGCCTGCCACATTGGGCGCAGGTGACTTTGCTTAAAGTGTGTACCGTGGTTGCTAATGATCGGCCTTGGTGGCAGCCAGCTTGTCAATTGAAACACCATGTTTGACAGGAGCTCACATACAATCGCCCTGCCTGTGACCACGTTCATCATGGCCAAGACTGCAAATGCAATATACAGAACAAACAATGCCGCCAGCCAGGGCCCAATCTCTGTTTCCAGAGGCTCCAGCAGGTCGTTCCAGTCGATTCCACCCGTAATGCCAGCAAACAGAGAGACCAGTGCCTCGACGAGCGAGCCGTAGAAAAGCTTGATCTCTGGGGTCCTCTGCATAATGAGGGGATCTTCCAAGCCCCTGTCTGCGACCATTTGTGTCAAGCACACACCAACGCCGTACATCAAGAAGGCCAGCAGGACGATGGTCCACATGAGGGACCGCAAGGAGGCAGCGATAGACATGACCATCGAGCGAAGCTCTTGGACAAACCGCAAAACTCTCATGAGTCGCAGAATCCTCAAGAGTCGCATGAGGCGAACAAGCCGCATAAAGTTGAAGTTTGCGCCGGCTTGATTGTTGGAGCCTGCTTGGATAGTCAACGTCGTAATGATATCAAATAGTTGAAGGCCAACCACCAGTGTGTCGAATATATTCCACTTCCAGTCGGCCATCCGAAAAAAGTTCACATTGTACACGAAAATGCGCATAACCAGCTCACAGGAAAAGACAACTGCAAACATATTCTCAAAGATGTCAAAGACCATGGGAGCGTCCTCGCCTATGTGTGTGACCATCCAGTCTGCTTGGATACCCATTGTCAGCGAGTTTGCGACAATGAAAGCAATGATGATATACCCGAAGCATGTATTCTCCACGAAGTGCCTGCGAAACCATTCTCTCAGCCAGGTTATGCCTGTCAGATCAGACAGGTCCTCAGGTCAGGTGGGATCATTTAACCCCCCCCCGCCCCGGCCATGAAAGGATCTTCAAAACCACAAGGGATGGCAAAGGCCGGGTCCCTGCCAGAGGGTTCCCAGCCCTCCGGCGAGAAGGGAGAAAACGAATCACTCGGCACCCGGTCGACCCTTGGTCCTGCAAGGGATGGTGCTGCTCCTTGAGCTTCATGCTCCTCACAACGGACACGCAAAGCGAACCGGGTTTGTGAAGAAGCCCATCGTTTCTGAAAGACGCAAGCCACGATTCTTTGAGCCTTTTTGTTGGGTTCCCGGAGGTGTCCAGTTAGACACCCAGCTTTTCAAAAACCGTCGCAGTTCTTCGGATTTGGCTCCTTTGGCTCTTCAGGTTGGTGAGCGTAGGCTTCTCCTCCGGCACCACTGGGCACATGCCGGTCTCGGCTTCGGAGCTGTTGAGGCCTGGCCCTGCGCGCACATCGGATCCCAACCGCCTCTCAGATTGAAGCGGTCAAACAAAAAAAAAAACAAGGACCCAAGGGAGAAACAAATGGAATTCTGTGAATTTACGATCTTTCAAACAAACATATCAGCTGGCGGAACCCTTGGGCAGGCTACTTTGTACTTCAAGATGACTCCCACAAAACACGTGTCTTTTGTGGCGGTCAATCTATGCCAAAGTGGCTGCGTTCCTTCGGATTAGTGCTTAAAGGCAAAGAAAGCCGAATTGCCATTCCAGTTGGTTCCCACTCTACTAACAAAAATCCCTCACTCTCCGGCATCCGGCCTCGCGTCGTGCCCCTGCGAGATTGAGCCGCCATGATCTCACTATCATCTGGCCCTGCGAAGCGGTAGGATTTTCGCGACCTGGCAACATCCAGTTGTCATCTTCAAGCCATGGAAGACACAAACCAATACCACAAGGTTTGGGGGTTGGCACTTATCATCAAGTGTCATAGCTTATAATTGAGTTATCAGGGGAACTGGGATGGCCGGTTGGTGCCTTTTCTCGGAGAGATGCCGCTGCAAGCTTGACTCGACTTAGATGCTTGGTGCACCGACAACTCGGCGAACCTGTGGAGCATACCCTGTGCCCAGGTCAGTTTTAAGTCCAAACAAAAGAAAGCGCATTTGGCAATTTGGATGGACGGATTCACCTTGATGGCGTTTCCTTTCGTCTATTTCCAGCTGCCAGCCTCGGGGTCGTTGTTTCCACCATGCCAGGGATCTTGGCGCAGGGTGATCAGTCGGGACGGACACAACTTTGCCAAGAAGTCAGAAACGATAGCAAGGCGGCACTATGATCCATTGCGGCCAAGGATCTTTCAGATCCTTCTCCTCCGTGTCACTGTCGACGCAAATCAGTCTGGCAGGAGAAGTGTCAGGTGACAGCGGGCGTGTCCTTGGATTCGGGACGAGCAAGACTGTACTTGGCTGGCATAACCTCAGCCGCCCACACACTGGGCGCATCCTGTGACAGTGATAAATTCATGTGAAGCACTGATTGCACCACAAGCAGCCCGCCTTCAAAGTCGAGTGCCTCGCAAGAAGCACATTTGGGCACCCCGTCTGCCTCAACCTCTGCCATCTTTAGTTTGCGGGGATGAGAAAGCAACTTCCCTTAACTGATCCCTTCTCCCCCAATGCCCCATGGCCTCAGGAGGGAGCCCAGGTCTGAGACCAGACCTGTCCTCAAACGCTCCTCTTGAGCTCTGAGCTCCTCCCGAAGCCAGTTCTGGAAGTCCTCGGTTCACTCTCCGGCGGACCACCCATTTTCCCTGAAGGTTCTTAGAACCTGCTCAAAACGGGCTCCCTCCAATTGCATCGAGCATCCTGTAGACCTCCAACCCGATCTTGTGCCCTCTCCAAAGGCAAAACTGTGGCCATGTCCGACTTGTCTTCCTCGAACTTGGGCGACGGTACCTCCTTTGCTCCGCGGGCATTCTGCAATTGCGTCTCAAGCCTGCGCAGCGGGCGAAGGACTGGGGCTGGAGGGGGGTCACAGAACTGTCCGTGTACCTTTAAGGAGCCGAGAGCTGCCCCTTCGCCCGCCTCAAAGCATCCTGAACCAAGGAAGAGAGCTGAGTTTGGACCTGGACATGGACAGGCAAGAAACTTGACAGGCCGCCCAAAATAGTGACGATTGAAATCAATGTTGAAGCTTGCTGACCACGCACTCTCTCTATCTCTGCAATCACAAACAAAATATCCTTGCCACACCTTGAAGGAAACGACCTCCAACAAAATGGGCCAATCAAATAGCCAAGGGGCGAGAAAGGCAAACTTCCCACAAGGAACACATCGAACGTCACAACCCTGTCCAGTATATTGCCCCCGAAGCCAGCTAAGAAGCTGGAGGCTTGCACTCAACCACAACATCCTCCTACGCCGGCTACCCTATTTCACTCAGAGATGCGATGCACTGCTCGTGATCCCTGCTTCCAAACACGGGTTGATCACAGAACCAGCTGCCAGCCTCAGAGTTGTTGACGAGCGCCATCTCCAGCGACGTCAATTGACGAATCTATCGCACGCCCATCCCCAGGACCAGATCCCTAGTTGATTCCCTGCTGAGATGTTGTTTGCAATGGACTGAACTTCTGAAATGTCTTGATTCTCGTGGATGGCAACTCGCTGAGCGTGCCGGCAGGTTGTCACCAAGGCAAACTCTTGCCAGGTACAGTTCCAAATTGAGGCACCACCCAGAGCACTCAACGACCAAACAGCGCACGCTTCGCTTGGCCTTGCGTCTGCGCACTGCAAACCCTGGAGAGTAAGGACAGTGCGCTGTGCTCTGTGAGCATGCATCTTGCACTGCCCAATGTGGGACGGTGGCATCACCCATTGGTGTCCACATCTCACATCCAACGTGTTTGACGGCAATGTCAGTCAAATGTATTCCACGTTCCAACGCAGCACTGACATGCCCTTGCCTTGTTTCACAAGTGGCAGGAGCATAAAATCTGGCTGGTTCAAATGAGTCTATGTACAGCTCTGGATTGCATTAACAAATCTACTTGTCGCGGAGGGCCCTGTTCTTGCGTCGCACAGCGCCCCTCTCCTCTCCTGCCCAAGGCTCATCGAACGGCACATCCAAGCCTTCAAACAACTTGGACTGCAAACGGGCTATCAAGCCGATGCGGGCAGGATGGTCCGGACGTATAGCTTACGTGCAACAGAACGCATGCATATGCAATGGCACTTTCCTGGCCAACTAAGCCTTTGCACCGACCTGATAGCGCTTCTCGGCCAACTCGTCGCTCTGCCAAGATGAAGCGGACCCAAACTGCCTCCGAATGGCTTGCGCCAATCCAGTGTGCCAAGTGGAAACAAATGCCTAGTCCTGAACCCTTTGAGCGAGAGTAAGGTGCGCGCTACCACTGGGATTATCGTCATGGAGAGAACAACTCCCGAGATTGTGGCGGTTCCGTCTTGATCCTGCATCTGGCTCATGCTCCAAGACGTGCTGTGCAAGCTTGCAGTCGCCAAAACTCGATCATGCTAATGGTCGGCGTGCCAAGGGTCCTGCACTTCTGCTGCAGCATCACCCGAATCCCCTGTACCTGGAGCAACAGAATCAAGTCCATTGTACTCAAAGTCAACAACCATGAGCCAGAAAGTTGGATACTCCCCAAAAAAGCCCAAACCTTGGAGCTAGTGGATCATATCAGGTGTGCCCGACTTTCCGGGTCCAAGTGGGTCCTGCCTGCCTAACATTTTCAGCAGGGCTGCAAGGTGGAGCGCACTGACTGGTGCCAGCGTCAGATTCAGTATGCTGCCATCGTATGGCACTGCCCTGCGCAGACTGCAAACTTCAACCGGTCTGCGCATGACAACCTCCTGTGGGGTTGTCTCCAAACAAAATGGATCCAGCCAAAACAAGCTATGGGTGTCTCTCGGGATACATTTGAAAATGCCGAAGAGGCCCTGGCACAGACCGCGATCAAAAACACTCGTCACCTTCCAGACACGAGAAATTTGGGGAGACCCCCCCAGTTCTGGTGACAAATTTGCACGCCTCTTCGCAAGGACAATCAGCTCTCCAACAACTTTCTGCGCCGATGGCCTCATCGCCACCTCCACCCATCTGATCTGAATGTTGAAGTATCCCTGCATCACACACAGCAGACAAGCAACATGTGCCATGCATCACACGACACATCGCCATGCCTTCATCATGTTTTGTAGCAAGAGAAATGCGGGCGTGGACCTGAGCATGAGACACGCAGTCTTGCAATATGTTCCTCGGTGCAACCAGTCAGGGGGCGCTTTTCAAGCTGCCTGCAAATACGCTACGCCTTGAAATGGAGCATGCCCTTGTGTGGCAGCCATCTCAGTCTCAAGCACCTCGGTCAGCTCCTCAATACCTTCTGCCACCTGAGCTGGAGTCAGAATATGCGATTCCTGCAATGGGCATTTAAATAAAGAAGGGGGAGTCCGGCTGGTTGGACAGTTGTCACGTGTCCCGAAACCCAAATTGACCATTGGGTGTGCTCACAGACGCAGCCGAGTCAGCCGAGGGCCTCTGTGAAATTTGCTTGCTCGGCGCCCAGGGACACCTGTGTCTCAATCCGGCAATCGCATGCAAGCTGATCGGAGCACCTCGAACTGGAGCTCCAGGTTGGCAAGGACCTGCGTCAGCACACAAATACGAGTGGTGTCCCTATGCCTTCCCTTCAAACCCAAGAGGGGTTCCTCACTTTTAGAACACCAGTCACAAACCTTCTCAAGAACCGCGCCTCGGGAGACTGACCTGCGCCCAAGCTCAGGCTGTCCGCTTTTGTGAAACTGGCGATTGGGAAGTCGCCAAGCTAACCTGGCTTTAGATTTCATCTTAAGTCGCAGTCAACCAGGAAAGGAATGAAGCAGTTTCATAAGGGTGCGGATTTATTATATATATATATATATATATGTTTTTAAAGTTTTTGTTTCTTTGATTTTTCGTCCGGGCCAGTAAAATGTCGTATTTTACAGCATTTTCTCGCGAAATTGTTTTACACTAGCCCATCAACATCCCCAGCATCGTTTTCAACATCCCCCACATGTCCGACAAACATCCCTAGCTTCACCAACAAATCGTGGGTAACAAAATCCAAAAAAGCAGCTGGCGGGTTGACGGGGTCAAAAAAATAATGCTTCAAACAGGAGGGCATTTCAATCCCAGCAAAAACAAAAAAACAAAAAAACAGAGCGGGGGGGTTGGGGGGGCGGCAGCCCCCTATGATGGTCGCAGAAGTGATGAATCGAATAGGGGTGCAATTAATTAAATCTCTGCAAAAAGTCTACAAAGTAGCGGGGGGGTTGGGGGGGCCCCCCCATGATGTTCGAAGAATTGACGATTCAACTAGGGGTGCAATTAAATAAATCTCTGTAGACAATCTAAAACGTAGCGGGGGGTTGGGGGGCGGCAGCCCCCCCATGATGCCGGAAGAAGTGATGATTCAAGTAGGGGTGCAATGATTCAAGAAAGGGTGTGATAGAATTTAAAAGGCAGTGGGAGGGTTGGCGGGGGTGGATTCTCCTATGATGTTCGAAGACAGCATTTTCTCGCGAAATTGGACGCTCGAAAAAGTGATGATTCAAACAGGGGTGCAATTCAATCCCTGCAAGAAATCTAAAAAGTAACGGGGGGGAGGCGGCAACCCCCCCCCCCCATGATGTTTGAAGAAGAGTTGATTCAAATAGGGGCGCAATTATTCTGCAAACAATCTAAACAGTAACGGGTGGGTTGGGGGGGGTTCCCCCCCATGATGTCCGAAGAAGTGATGATTCAAATACGGTGGTGGTGATGCTGATGATGCGGGAAGCCAAATCCAAAAACCAATAGCCAAAAAGCCCGAAGGATGCGAAAAGCCACCACAAGCCGCCAAAAGCCAACCAGCGAAAAGCCGCAAAAGCCAAAACGCCACCTGCCGAAGAGGAACTGGGAATGCAGAGGATGCGAAAAGCAAAAAAGCCGCATAAACCAGCAAAAAGCCGTGAAAAGCCTAGATGCCCAGAAGCCGAGAAGCCAAGAAGCCGAAGCCAAGAAGCCAAGAAGCCAAGAAGCCAAGAAGCCAAGAAGCCAAGAAGCCAAGAAGCCAAGAAGCCAAGAAGCCAAGAAGCCAAGAAGCCAAGAAGCCAAGAAGCCAAGAAGCCAAGAAGCCAAGAAGCCAAGAAGCCAAGAAGCCAAGAAGCCAAGAAGCCAAGAAGCCAAGAAGCCAAGAAGCCAAGAAGCCAAGAAGCCAAGAAGCCAAGAAGCCAAGAAGCCAAGAAGCCAAGAAGCCAAGAAGCCAAGAAGCCAAAAGCAAAAAAAACCTCAAAAAAAAACGTGAGAACAACTCCTAAAATAAATACCCCTCCGTTTCAAAAAGGCCAAGGACGCGGAGCCATCACTAATGTTCAAGCCACTGAACTCCGCCAACTACCAGCTGCTGAGCCAACATACCAAAGCAAATGGCAACCGGGGTCGATCTCTTCTGCTGCCTACTTTGAGGCAGACCCCAAAAGGGGATGTCCCAACTGATTTGAAGGGTGCCATTCCCATTTTCGGAAAGAGACTCGAAGCGCCTTCTGCTACCAGGTCGAGCACTCTGAGGCGCACTATGCTGCTGGAGCTCATGCCCAAACACACCGCCAGAGAGCGCCTGAAAACGAGGCACCCCCGTTCTGGGATGGACTTAGATCGATTCCTAGCCTCTTCCCCAAAGCTGCCCCACCGCCCCGGGTTTCCCGATTCGAGGCTTTATTTGGACCGGGCAAGCCAGGGAGGAGGGATGGTCTTTTTGTTTCAAAGCACACCAGGGCCTTAGGGGTCCGCCTTTTGAGGGCACGCCCAACTGGCTCCAAAAGTCAAGAGAATGCTCAGGCTGTTGTGTTCATGTCCACCAGCATTTCTTGAGAGGGTTCCAGATTCACAGTCATACCGTCATACCCATTCGGTGCTTCTTGGGTGAGCTGGTGGCAAGTGCCTGCATGAGGTCACCCGAGTCACACCCCGCTTGCCTCAAACTCTCTTGCAGTACTTCTGAGGAAAGCGGGCTGCGACTGGTCACACCTCGACATCGCACGTTTACAGGTCAGGACTGTTGCGGGCATGTTTAAGGGGCCGTTCTTTGGGGCTGTGTATTAATTACCAGTGTGCAACTGGATGCAACTGGATGGGAACAAACACGTAATGCGTTACATCACTGTCGTGCAATTCATACACTGGCATGTTTCACTGTTTCACTGCAATCTAAGGACCACAATTCATTCTCAAGGGGAAACCGGGTGACCCACCATAAATGTCCCTTGTGGACGGGCCACAGTCTTTGGTCAAATCACCCCTTCAAACCATTTGACACGGCTAAGCTTTCTCGCTGGACACTTGGGAAACCATTTAAAATTGTCAGGGGCGTGCGTGACCAATTTGTGATCTGCCCTTATTTCAACAGAAAACATTAGCAGGGATGTAGGGGAAGCGAAGGCTAAATGGATGGCTTGTCTTCCATTGCCATTTGCCATTACACTGCTTTTGGGTCCCTCCTTGGCGTCCGTTGCACCTGGTTTAATATCGGGAGTAGCTGAAACACGATCCCCCACGGTGTCGGGGTCATCTTAAGTTAAAACCTCAGAAAAAACCGTTCCAAACAATCTGATATGGGCCCTTCCCAAGTCAGATGTTGGTGTTTGCTTCTCAAAGGGGCTCCCAACCAAAAAGGTTAGCAAGGAAAAGGCCAAGACCTGAGTCTGAGAATTCCTGGTTTGATCTTACGCCCCAAGCCATGAAATATCCTTGCTTAAATCATCTTGAATCTCTCCAAAACCGATCACTGCTTGAGCACCTGTCCCCCTCAATTCTGCGGTGCAATCCAACAAGAAGTGCCGGCAATACTAAACTAAGAACTGGCAGTCCAACAGGAAGTGCAGGCAATACTACACTAAGTATTGGCACCAAAGCAATACTTGGGGGATTGATTCTGGGACGAAATGCGCCCCCTTCGACATGCTAGGGGTTAACAATCAACCAATTAGATTCCGTGTTCCGTCACTGAATCAACAAGCTTCATTATGACCCAAGCTCCTGCCAGACTTTTGTAGAGGTCCGAGCACTGCTTGGACAGAGCTGTTCGGGGGGGGGATTTAACAAGGGTCCCACAATAGTCTGCTTCGCCAATTGAGGTCTACGCAACATAGCTATTTGCCTTGGCGCGCAGCTCCGCAGTCCTATACGGGCACACCTTGGAGTTTTTATTGAGGGAGGTGCCCAGCGAACCCCGCAGTTCGCCCCCTACAGTGGAGCTGCAGATGCTTGCAAGCACAACCGAACAACCTAGTATGGCTATGGTCTGGTTGGGGGCCTTAAAGGGAAATCAAATGGAAACCATCTCATTTTGCAGGTTTCATTTCAGACAAACTTGTTCAAAGCAGCTGCCTCAAACCTTCGCAGGTTTCATAGCAAGGCCCTGGCCCACGTGCAGAGCTGCTGCCAGCAGCGGCCCGCGCCAGGCCGTCGCCCCCGCCTCGACACTGGCAGAATTGCTCCTTTTAACGGTGAATTTCCGGAAGCCACAAGGTCCCGTGATTTTCTGAAGGACCTCTGCACAGTGCCCCGTGACCTGCGAGAACCATCTCTTGAATTTTAGCCAAACTGGGCCATTTTGGCTGCTTCTGGTGCGTGAGGCCCATTTCCTAAACTGGACTCCGGTTTGTCTCGGGCCAAGACTTCCTGGCAGCCTGAGCTCCCGAAGAAGCGCCCGTGGAGGCAAATGAAGTGACCAGCAGAGCTAGACCTTGGAAGGTGGCTTCTGCTTCAGGACCTTTGGGGTTGAAACAGGAACTCAAAAACTTAAAGGGAAAGCGGCCCCATGTGCGGGGGTCATCAGCTCGGTTTCGCCCCAAGCATGCCGTGGTCTGAACAGGATTTGCCTTTTGAACTGGGCCTTGTTGAAAACTCCACATCGAGCAGTGATCAACCAGGTCCTTTGTAGCGATCCACCAAGGGATCCACCACATCCAAGGTTTAACCAAGGGTTTGCCTCAGAGATATGACTTTTACGGGGTACATCTATGCTTCATCAGCCTCGCCAGCGACTCACACCCAGGCGACATTCCTCCGAAGGGCTCAATATGAAGCAGGGAGAGCCCGCAGAAAAGGGACGCTTTATGGCTCTTCTGAGTAAGGTGACCTTGTTCATCTACATTTTGCCATCCACCCCTTTTCCCCTCCCCCCCGCCCACACTTTTTGGCACAATTCAAATACGCCCACCAAAACAGGCCTCAACCAATTCTCACTCCCCGAAAAGAGGTTAACCAATAGAAGAAGGAAATCCTAAGGGCTAACTCAGATCATGTCAACCCCAGTGAAATACATTTGGAACATTGGACTCGAGACTCTGCCGAGCCTAAATGGTGTTAGGACAATCAGCAAAATAAAAAGCAACTACCAAGTAATGAAAAAACCGAAGAAGCACAAGCAATCAAATTTAGAACATTGAAAAGAGATAAGCAAAATCAAGAAAAAGACAATGGAAAAAAAGAAAAAGCTTTATGAACGATAAGTAAAACTATATAATTGTAACAAATGAGGTTAGTAAATTGTATAATCACACTATAATGTTAAAATACCTGTCAGGGAAACAACTTAATTTAATAGTATCAAATGTGTTGTAATTATGGTCAATCATAAATTTCGTAACATCACTTAATGATGTAATTGCTTCATTTACACTCAAATTATGTATTTCAATTGCTTTATTCTGCTTTTTGTTATACGTCCTTCGATTTCATGATAGGAATCAATACTATATTCAAACAAATTCAATAAACATGTATACGGTCCTTCTCCAGTTGTGACATGTTATTTTGATAAATCCAAAAAACATGAAATTGATATAGAATTGAAAAATAATAGTTTAACTTGTTCCAACATATTGTTTTTATCATTCATCCTTGTAAGCCATTACATGTCTATTCAATCATGGTTTCACGATTTAACAAATGATTTAGCGTTTTACAATCATTACAATTACATGTGTCCTTACTATAATCATTAAGTTAATTAAGAGCATTACTATGCAAATTTAAGCGGAATAAATCAACTGGATTATAATTATGCTTTGGTGTTTCTGTTTTAATCATTCTTTGTGTGTCGTTTATATTCAATGCATCCAAGAAATTATGAATTATTCCTTCTTGTTCAAATTGATTGAACATTATATATTAAGTCGCTATTTCTTCAAATGCTTGTCAGAGAAAATATATATTCATAAGCATGTTTATCGCTCTAATTACAACATTTGTGATCTTACATGTCAAATGCAACTTCATGAACAAAGTTGTTTTTGTTAATCTAAACTTTGTTTAGATTAATGAGAAAACAAACATTTATGAAAAAGTGATTGTTTCCTCGTCATAAACAATCTTGTAATTTCCAGCGTTTGCGGTTTAGGTTGGTTAATTCCTTCTTATTCAACATTTCACAATATTGTTTTCGTACAGTTTCAAAATCGCCCATCGGACGTCCAATATCCTTCTTTTCAAAGATGTTGTCCATCCCTTGCTGATCATCCACATCATTGTCATTCTTGTTCGCTTGGTTTAACATTCCCTCAGCAGTCTAAACAACTTCAGTCAAAGTTTTAACATTATTACCAATGATTGCAAGCTTTTTCATTAAGTCGTTAATTGCAAACTCTCTGTTTCGGACACTTCTATATATAATATTTACTTGTGCGTTTGAAGCTTTGTTAAATTTACTCTTTATATATTACTGTTTCATCATTTCTCGTATAGTTTCCTGTGCTTCTGTATCTTCTTGCCTACTTGCTCCTGAAACGCCACGCCCCCATTTAAATGTTATATTATGTAAGTCAGTCTCCAACTTGATATCACCATCTTTAGTTCTATCAATCTTCAGTTCTTGTCCTTCTTACTTTATTTTGAACCCCATAGGCACACACAAACATTTACAGTGTCCGTTCTTTTGTATATCTAACTCATGTTTTTCCTCTAACATCTTTTTGCACATCGGACAAGCAAACTCAGCAAACTCAATGAATAAGAACTTCTTCACTGTCGTCATCTGTTGAAGAAACCGTTGTTTCTGTCCTATTACTTTTGTTTTTCTTCCCTTTCATTTGTATTAATGTTTACATTTTCTTTTGGATATATCGCATTCCTAACTTATTTTCTTCTAAGGAATCATAACAGCAGGTCTTAATCTCATTATCAGTTATTACAACTTGTGCTATTCTGTTGTACTCACCCTTCGGCTGGATCGTGAGGATTGCATTCACAATGTTTTGTGCAAGTCCACCATCAAGGACAAGATTCTTCCATCGTGAAATAATTGTGTGCTTCCTTGATGCCACGGATCTTCTTAGGAAGCTTCCATTCTGGATCATTTCCAGATGTCCTGAAGATAACGAACGTCATTGAAGATTCCACCGACGGTGAGGTTCTTCTCTACCTCATCTATGATACCTATATAATCTGAGGAGCGTCTCTCCGTATAAATAATATGATAAATTATTACTTGATCCTCTTGTTTAGAATACTCGGAAGGCAATGGGGTTCTTCGAGCACACATAAGCGGGGTTCAAACTAATTCAAGAGTAACTATTTACATTGCTCATGAATGTAAATGATGGAAAGCCTGTTCAAATTGTTCGTTGATATTCGCCGCCAGCATAGCATGAAAAAAGATGTTCCATACAACAATAATCCCAATGGATGGCAACATGTGGACGGGACGGGGCTTGATTAGATAGATGTTCACCGACATGGCTACAAGTGCAACAGACGTAGGCAGCAGTTCCAACTGACAAGGGGGACCGCTCCAACTGACATGGGCGAGGGTTTCCACTCACGCAGCAACAATCGCAACACCCCAAATGCAACAGCCGCAGAAATCCGTTGCAACAGCCCCAGAATCCACTACGATAGTAAAGTTATTTTGAGCCGGAATGAGAATGGGCTCTCTTTTCACATTCTCTTGAAGCTAGGGAAAACTCCGGATGCCAGGGCGCGGGCCCAGGGCAGTGGGCTGCACAGCGCTCTGCAGGCATCATGTACCTGACCCACGCCTCTGTAGAGGACACGACCACTGCTCCATACGTTTGCCAAATTGGGTTTACCAACTCGGTTCCCGTCTTCTGAAATCTACAAAATCGGTGGTGTCTCGATGGATGGATGGATGGATGGATGGACGGACGGACGGACGGACGGACGGACGGACGGACGGACGGACGGACGGATGGCTGGGCGGCCGCCAGCCTCGGATACACGTCATTGGCTGGCGTGCGATTGAAAGGGTGCCCTCAAAAATCGGCCGACTGTTTTTGTCCTGGGCAGAGCGTGCCGAAAGAGTACGGGTACCAAGAAAACAAGAACTTTGGCAGGGAAAAATAAGTCAAGGGGACATCCCAACCGCAATCCCCCGGAATCGTTCCGGAATCCTACGCCGGAGGGTGTCCGGGCAAAGCCCCTTCGGCTTTGAGCCAAGAACCATACCAGATCAAACAGCCCTAGAACCGGAACCCCTCTCGGAACCCTTGAAATCCGGCAACCACCAACCCCTATCCAGCCTCTGCTCCTGGGTAGAGACCCCATAGCTTGAGATGTTGGGAAGAAACATGAATTGCCTTTTGCCGGTTGTTGGAGCCGTGATCCCCCCTCCTTTGTACGTCATTTCCATGGGGCTATTGGCATCTGTAGCTCCGTAGATCCCACCGGCCTGGGGCAGGTGGTGCCATCTGCAAAGGCGATGGTGCACCCGTGGCCCCTAACAAGCGGCCCACGCGTCAAACGGACTGAACAGGGTCCTTCGGTAAAACAAATGACAAATGCAGTTGTCAATAGAAGTTTAACCAGCACCTCTGTAGTGTTGGAACCAATTGACTTCGCCCTGCAACAGAATGCATGCACTTGTGCGTGGTTTTTCAGAATTGAAGCACGGCGCCCGAAAAATCAGATAAAACACTGGAAAACAAGAGAACAGAGGAGTAGAAACGGGCGGAACAACGTGCATGAACTCAGCCCTGCCGCATGTGCACAAAACACCTCAGTTGCGACGCCTGACGGAGGCAAGGTTGGGCGCGCACTGCTTCGCAGCCTTCAATCTGCCTTCACTCGTGGCGCTTGATGTGTTTCACTTCGCTCGCGCAAACAACCCTCTGCGGACTTTTGAGGGATGGACCTTCAAAAACTCCTCGCGTTTTTCTGTGGTCACCTTGCGCAACTATAAACAAATGATTGCGTCGACCTTAAAAAGGTGCTGTTTTATTGTTCAGTTTCACTTCGCTCGCGGACCCCTCTGCAGACTTTTGCTGGTCAACCTCGAACAACTCATTGTTTTTTGCGCTCTTCACTTTTGTGGTCTGGAGAGATAAAAAGAGAAAGTGAAGAAAAGAAAGAAGAGAAAGAGAGAGGGAGAGAGAGAGAGAGAGAGAAAAAAAAAAGGGGAAAGGAATCCAAACTGGCAATGAACGCGACTAAGCACCTCGCATGCTTGTGGTGCTGCTCGTGCTGCTGCTAGTACTGCTGCTTGATGTGGTAGAAGTCGTAGTGTTGGTCCTGGTGGACATAGTTTGGCTGGTGCTGCTTGCGGTGGTGCTTGAAGTTGTGCTGTTTGATGCCGTGCTGCTTGTAGAGCTGCTGGAGGTTGATGTGGTGGAAGTCGTCGAGGAGTTGCTGATGGAGCTAGTGCTGGTGGAGCTGCTCGTGGTAGAGCTGCTACTGCTTGAAGTTGTAGTGCTCAATGTGCTGTTTGTCACCGTGCTTCCCAGAGTGCTTGTCCAGCTGCGCGTGGTGCTGGAAGTTCTGCTGATACTAGTGCTTGAGGTGGTCAATGTTGCCATGGTGCTAGTGGTGGTGCTGCTGGTGGTACTGGTGGCACTGATGGTACTGCTGGTGGTACTGGTGGTGGCACTGATGGTACTGCTGGTGGTACTGGTGGTGGCACTGGTGGTAGTACTGGTGGTGGCACTGGTGGTGCTGGCACTGCTGGTGGTACTGGTGGTGGTACTGGTGGTGGCTGCAAGACAATCAGGAACTTGAAGTGTGGTATCCTGGCAGCAATATGCTATGGGATCAACATTGGTGAAAGATGGCAGCTGCTCAAGCTATCACCTTTGCCTTGCACGACACATTCAGCTCCGCGACCAAACCGGGCGGGCACGAAGCTTCGCAGCTTTCCCCTGTTTCCAGCACCTGTTAGCATTTCGACATGTGAGATGTGGTTGGCTGCTCACATACCAGCACTCCTCCGGGCAGTTTGACAGAATGCCATCGGACTGGCTGGTGTTGCAGAAGCCGCACACCAGAGGTACCTGGGAGGAAAATGCAATGACAGCGGCTATGCCATGGCGTCCGGGCCTGGAGAAGCACCGGCCACCATGTCACGCGATGGCGTGGCTTGCTCATAAGCCGCTTTCCGGATGCCTCCTTCTCATCAGCTCAGCGGTCGAACTGACTTGTTTCCCCCAAGGACGTGGGAAAACTTAGTGACTTCCATATGTCCCTCCCCAATGGACTATAGGACATTGCTGATATTCTGACCGAGCCATATATCACACCAACGGGCATGAGGGCACCATGCATCAATGCTGGGAGAGCTGACACCTGTCTCTTGACCAAGATGCGCATGTGTGCCTTTTTGCAATACAAAATGCTTGAGCCGCGCGTGCACAAGACCTCACTGCTTTTGAAATCCACGTGCTGCTCAAGACGCTTACATCAGAATGGGCGTTCAATCTCTTTTGCTGCCTTCAGGCCTGTCACTTTGAGAGGCTCTTTGCGAGCACATCATGCCTCCTTGGGAAGCAGAAGCGTGCAGTGGAGCAGCCCAGAGCAAAGGTATCATGTCGCCTATGAGGGAGATGCCACAAATGTTCCAGTTCGTGCTCTTATTTGGGTACTGACAGTGAAGAACTTCATAGCCATCAGCAAGGTTTCAGCGTATTTGTAAGGTAATCAGCTTTCCGCAGCAAGCTGTACCCTAACAAGGCGCGACCCAGCTGCAGTTGCCAAAAGACACGTAATCTGCTACGTTCAGCCGCGCCGACAAAGGGCCTGTATGGGACAACCACTTTGAATGGTAAAGGGAAGCTGCAAGGCCCACTTTCAGGGTCGCCGAATTTCGGAAACCCCCGCCGGAATCAACCCACAAGGTTGCCCGCCTAGCAAAGACTTGGCGTAGAGCGTCAGCTGCTGCTAGTTCCCAACCCGAGCTCCAATCTTGGCAATGGAAGCACTGATAGCTTGGCTGGCAGGATCATGCATTTTCTCTCTTCTCTCTTTCAAAATGCCCTCCCTGAGACATTTTCGACAGCCCTGATGTCGCCACACCGCAAATCCTGTTGGAAGGTTTCCTCATCCAACGGGGACCTCCGTGGCCTTCTTATACACCTGCACAGTGTCCTCCAATCTCTCAGTGGCCCGCTCATTGACCCGATAGCACCACCCCGTTGCACACGGAGGCAAGGTGTTGCTGCGCTGACACGGCGCCCAAAGGTGGCGGCTGAAGAGGTCCCAAGCACCACGTTGGAGCTGTTTACTACGGAACGCCAGGAGGCAGCCACGCATGGCCGATTTAGTGCCCGTATTGGTCATGCCGTACCCACTGTCCCAATCCCTGTGTTGTTCGAAAGAACAACTCATGTTTTTCTCCGCAGTTTCCTGTTCCAATCTTGCGGGCTCAAAGCAAGCATCATCTGCATCTTGGTTCACCCACTGAAAGACTCAAGGTCCAAAGAGCATGACAATGTTATGGTAAATATGCTAATGTCCATACAAGAATGTGTCATAAACCACGCTGACATGGATGAATTCTTGGGGTTACCACAGTGCATGGCCAGTAGCTGTCAACCATGGGTCCACTTTGATGATTGTCACGAGGGTAGTTCAACTGTCGGCGAAATCGGGGTTGCTTCATCGGCAAGTTGCCAGCTCGGAAACCAGACTTCCGGAGCTTTTTTTTCGAATGCTAGCACACAGTCTGCTGTCTGCCGATCGGACGCTGTTGCTCAAAGCTTGTGAAACTGTGAGATTGGATGCACCCTATCCAGGCCAATTTAACTGTGGCAGGAAAGTGGGCCTGTTTGACAGGCGAAGCATCCACAAATTGGGAAGGTACAAAGGGCACATGGAGCCGGACACAATGGCTTATATTAAGACATAGCAAGCGCTTTGCCACGTGTACGCCTCAATGGGGTCCGGGACCAAATTTGGTGGTCACACTTGGGGTACCCAAAGCGGATCCGTTGAAGCCAACAAGAACGAAAGGCTTGGCACTGTTGGACTGCAACCTGAAATCGAAAGCTTCGCATCGCCCATGTCTCATCCCCACAACGACTTGGCGCGATTCATGAGGCCGCCCACTTGATCCACCATCCCTTGTGCCTGATCGCTGTTCATGAGATCCTGGCGTGGGCTTGGAGTGATTGGCCGGTGAGAGAGATGATACAATGGCCATGGCTCAATACTGGATACTCCCAAACACATGGTTGATGATCAGGCTCATGTCCATTTGGGGAGCTAATAATTTTGAGCCATTCTCAAATGATTGTAAATGAATGATGGATCTGGATGGCAAATGATGCTGTGGTGACAAACTTGGGCGTAATGGATTGATCGATACGGTACTGGCTACGTAGAAGTGGAGAGCTTGAATAGTTTGGAGGGATTCCACAGAATTGATGGGGTTCGACCCGTCTGCCTCGCTACAGACCCACAAAGCCATCGTAGCAAAATTGTGGAATATGTCATGACTGGGTCAAATGATTGAAGACCAAAATCATTTCATGTGAGATGCATGACAATCAACGCATGTTGCGCAAGAACCAATCAGGTGTGCTTTACCCTGACTGGGCAAAGCGCCATATCAAAACAGCCAACCATCGCGATGGTTCATCCTGCAATGATCAAACATTGCAAGTGAACATCTGCCTCGAACCTTTCAAAAGTTGGTGAGATGGCAAAGCCGAAAGTGCATTATGCAAAGAGCACATATGTTTTGTGTTTGCTCTTTAGATCCTGCAACAAAAAGCATGGCTTGCAGATCTAGACTTGGGAGTGCAGCCAGAATCCTCCAAAACCGGACTTGAAAACTGCAGCAGAACCCACCTGAACCTACCCAACCTGACCTGGGAGCTGCACCGGAGCTGAAGACCCCATTAGCGCACATGTTTGGGGACAAGTTTTGCGCTGGCTTATACTTGAACATAACCATGTCCACCAGATGTGCGATGGATACTATATGAGCCACAGTATGTTTTTCAACGTTGCCTGCCATCGTTGGTGGATTACGGGGGGACCTATTAACCATGGTTAGAGTGACGGTTCCCCAAACAGTCTTGAGGAGACCGCGTGTGAAGACCACGCGATTGAAAACTCTCACAGCTGCAAGATCAAAGCATCAGTACCCTAAGATTGCACTCGAGCCAGCAGCACGTGTGCAAGATCTCCGTATGAAACTTCTTGCCAGCCCTTAATCGTAGTTACTATCATGCAAACAGAAGTCAGAGAGCACGATTGCACGGTGATTACAACGAAGAATGCAATGTGCAACCCGAGGACACCTGTTTTTGCTAGACTTCCTCCGAAAACTGAAGTTGAAGAGCATGATTGTACGGCAATTATTCCGAAAATTCATCGTGCGAATTCCGCAACCACTCGTTTGTTGCGAGGCTGTCTGCAGAAATAAAGCTACAGAGCACATTTGCACGGCAAGCGCCATCTAATCTTCTTGGCACGACCTGCACGTTCCAGCGCTTTTGCGAGACTGTCTGCAACAATGGAAGTTCGGATTCCACGCATTGTCCCCCGCGGTCCTTGACTTGGTTGGTCAAGTTCTGCACCTGGTCCGAATCCACAAAGTCCCTCACACGGTCGGCCGCCTGCTGAACTCCCCCTGCATTCATCAGGTCTCCCACGGTGTGGGCCACGTCCATCACCTGTGCGTTTTCGGACACAACCATCAGGGTTTTCTGAGAAATCAGTCAACACAAACCAATTGATGACCGTCCCTCTCTCAAATCTCTGCGCCCAACCAGCAGTTTCGCCTGTGAGGCCACTCCGGGATAGTCCTTCATAAGGGAATAGCCAAGGTGAATGTAGTCATCAAGGGCTTCACTGGCTTGGCTGTAGATATTCTCCCGCATATTGTCCATTTCCATTTGCTCTCCCACCTCGGCGATCCACCTGGACCGCTCGCAATCAAGTCTTTTCCAACGGAGTTCACCATGAGGAGCAAAGGCATAAAGGGCGAAGCGGCGGCCTTTGGTTGCTTTGCAAGAGACATAGACTTTGAATGGTCCCAAGGACGGTTTCAAGGAATACCATTCTGATCGGTCACGTTTCCCCAGCGTTACCTTTGTGATCCTGCTGCCATCTGAGCCATAGATGTGGAGATCTGCCTGAGGATAATACTTATCCTTGTAGTGCTGGCCATCTTGCTTCCGCTTGTACCACTCCCGGCACTTGATCTGGTCCTGCCGAAACACTCCCACAGTGATCCGAGCATCTTCTGCCACACTCTCAAAAGTAAGCTCGTACTTGAAGGTATCTTCGCACCTCATGTCCACATCGCTGCTTCGGAAGTAACCCTCCTTCCCAGTGGTCTTATTGACTCCATACAACCATTTTCCGGAATTACCAGTGACCTCCAACTTCTCTCCCCGCGTGAGGTTGATCTCGCCGTCCTCGCAGGCACGGTAAGAACGCTTGGCCAGGGCGGTGAAGGGCGGTTCCTTGCCGAAGCGTCCATACTGGGCACAGCACTGCCAGGTCGGTCCAAAGGTCCGATTGAATTTCACACCTTTGGAGAGCTGAACGAAATCTTTATCTTCCATCCAAAAGGTACCATCATTCCTCAGCGATTGAAATAGGATCGAATGTAACAACGAAAACAACAGCGGACATTGTTGGCATTGCTTGAAATCCGGCCATCGTTTGCTGTCTACAGCTGCTGCACTTACACAATCGTCACCTTTGCCCACTGAACTCCATTTCCGCGGAAGGCGTGACATGTCAGGCCTATCAACCTGGCTATCATGGCTTGAAAGCATCACGGAAGTCAATTGCTAAGAACTCGGCCTTTTCTTGAGGCCCAACTTCTTGCGACGTTCGTCGTTCCACTTGTTCGAAGCATCTGACCACGGACCGGTCCATTCCTCGAGACGCCCGGTTAGCCCAAGGTTCCAACAGTGGAAAAAACTATTTGGGATGCCTCTTCATGCGCGTCCTTTCGCCTAAATAATTTCGCTTGAAATCAAAGACACGCATTCAGCATCCTGTCTCATGTCTGGAGCTGTGATACACATATTCATTTGTATGCGTACCTTGCATAAAACTTGACATGCCGAGGGAAAGGTTGTTCAAGAAGATTCGGCCCCAGCCAACCCAAACAGTTTCATGGTATCACTGTCCATGGGATGAGCCGGGATTGCGGCCTGTAGTGTTCTGTGCTGCGATGGAGCAGCTGTAGAGTTCCCATTTCCGACGGGTTCTTGCTTCATCTGGCTTTGCTATACCCCTGCCCTCCCCCCCGCTCGCCGCTCTTCCTCCTTTCTCCGCTCTCTTCTCTCCCCTCTCCTCTCTTCACTTTTCTTGCCTCCTCTCTCCTCTCTGGTCGCGTTCATCCTCCTCTTCTCATCCTCCTTTGTGCTTCCCTTGCATGTTTTGTGCTTTCCCGAAAGCATCGCGAAGGGTTCTTCCGCGCGGAGCTCTCGGACCAACTTGCATAGAGTCACTTGCGCAGAGTCAAATACATAGATCCAAGTGCATAGAGCCAAGCGCATAGAGCCAAGTGCATAGAGCCAAGCGCAAATAGAGCCAAGTGCGTAGAGCCGATCGCACAGAGCCGAGTGCATAGAGCCGAGTGCATAGAGCCAAGTGCATGGAGCCGAGCGCATAGAGCTGTGCATAGAGCCAAGTGCATAGAGCCAAGTGCATAGAGCCAAATAGAGCCAAGTGCATAGAGCCAAGTGCACAGAGCCAAGTGCATAGAGCAGTGCATAGAGCCAAGTGCATGGAGCCAAGTGCATAGAGCCAAGTGCGTAGAGCCAAGTGCATAGATTCGGCGTTAGCAGCTATGTAACTTAAGTTTAGCTTTCTAGGGCGCCGGGGCAGGACTTCGATCGTCGATCGGGTTTGCGACCCTCTGCCAGGATGGGCGTGGTCGAGGTGCAAAAACTCGAGGTTGTTTGCGGCTCTTGCGGTGCCCGCGCGACCCTCTGCGGGGATGGGTGTTTTTTTGTTTTTTGCGTTTTTGCGGTGCGCGGATGAACCGTCGGGGATCGGCGTGGTCGAGGTGCAAAAACTCGGGGTTTTTGGCGATTTCTGATCTGCCCGCGCGACCCTCTGCAAAAACTCGAGGTTTTTTGCGACTCTTTCGGTGCCCGCGCGACCCTCTGCGGGGATCGGCGTGGTAGAGGTGCAAAAACTCGAGTTTTTTTTGCGATGTCTGATCTGCCCGCGCGACCCTCTGCGGGGACCGGCGTGGTCGAGGTGCAAAAACTCGAGGTGTTTTTCGTTTTTGCCGCGCGCGGATGAACCCTCTGCGGGGATCGTGCGTGTCAACGCACTCTCGCTGTGGCGCCGCGCGAATTCGTTTTAGTCTCGGCGAACCCCCTGCGGAGAGTGCTCTCGCTGCGACGACGTGCGATTTAT